CAAAATAACATAGCTTTAATAGGAGATTTGGTCTAACTTCACTAATCGTAGCCACAAAAGGAAGAAATCAGCATTAAGTTGGGTCCTTCACACCATCAATCTGATTGAATTTGTGCCCTACGAAGGTCGATAATTAAGTCGAGCTTACTCATCATTTCCACCTACAAAAAGGGGGATAGTTTGGGAGTTTGACCTTCTCTACGGTTAGTTTACACGTCACAGGAGGTCGTAACACTATTAAAATACGCGCCAGAGATGTTCAACAAAGTAAAAGATACGGAGGAGAAAAGATGCTATAAATAAATGGAAACGTATCGTGTCATCCCAGATTTAATAACATTATGTAGAATGCATCGTAGCAATCATTGGATATTAACCTCTCTGGGGGAAGAGGGAGAGAGAGAGAGAGAGAGAGAGAAGACCTTCATCTATTTTAAGTTTTAGAAAAGGTCATTTATAATTGTGTATAAAAGTATAACATTTTTCCGGTGGCTTGTTTAGATATACAATAACCGATAAAATGGTAGATTTAAGTGGAGACCGGTGTAGATCAGCTCCCATCCATCAGTCTCGCTGGTGTCGTAGCACAGCACTTAATCCCCTGCCTTAAAATCCGCCTGACTGTGGCAAACCCAGTCAAATGACAAGGGACCTATCAATCTCTTTTCCTACAGCCTCCTGTTGTCAGGGAAGCGATGACCGCTAATTCATGGCCATTTATGGGGGCAAAAACGTTAATTGATTCCGGCAATCTATGTCTGACTGGTTCCGTAAAAGGGATTAAGCGATTGTGTTTCTCTTCAGTCGGGATGTGACCTGGCTCTTGTCTTTTCTCCATCCAACATTCAATCTCAGATGTCGTCTAATCATATTCTTCTGTGGATGAGGGAGATGAACGAAGGATTTTTTATTATTTCTCTCTCGATAAACCATGCGGAGAATGTTTCTAATGCGATTTCCAGACGTAATATATATATATATATACGCGCATACAAACACACCTACACACACACACACTTTTCTACCCCTCATCTGGATCGATGTATGTAAATTAATACGTTTGTTGTAGAGTGATTTATAAGAAAATAATAATAAAAAATAAATAAATAAGTAAAAATTCTTCATCTATCGAGTGGAAAGGTGCCTTTAGGATGAATGGGATAGTGAGGAGTAATTTATTATCCTGATAAGAAGGAGGGGAAGAAAAAAAAAGTGATTCCTGACTAACGTTACCCACTTGTAGCATTCTATTGGAAGGAAAGTTTGAGCAAAACTTTATGAATAAACGGAAGAAGGGAGTCTCCAAGGGCATCAATCTATCATTCTCCGGTCGGAAATGTCCGATGGAATCCCAGACACGGGAACAATTAATAACACAGCATGTAATCACACTTGGACGAAGCGCAATTCATCTTCCTTGTCACACCAATCCCTAGCTGTGGAACTGACAGATTGGCCAGAATCTGAAACAACACTCTTCGATGCTACTTCTTATTTAGAGAGGGGGAGAGGAAGAAGAAGAAGAGGAGGAGGAAGAGGGGTAAAAAAAGAACGAAGGAGAAATCGATATAACTTAACTATTCTTTGATTTTTTTAGATAAGGAAACAATTTTTATAGATTGGGGGTCGCATCTTCGATGGTTGGAGTCGTTTGCATGCTTTGCTGTTGTCTGTGTGACAAGGGATGTCCCGAGGGAGACCGCAGATGCGCTGCTGATGTCACGTCCGGTTTTAGGCCTCAGGTGGCACAACGACGCAGGATTACGTCGAGATCCCAGTCCCGACACACGTCGTTCGTTGCATCTGTGCTTGGATCCGACATTGCATGCAAATAAAGAGATCAAAGGAGTGCTAAAGTTTCCTATACCATACCTCTCCTTTTTATCATGTTTTGAGACATCTGTGTGTTGAGGTCCTATTGGGCGATGCGTGCTTTGCTAGGTCTGACAGGTGCTGCCAAATGTCTGTAACGTAATGAATGCTGAATGATCGGAGATTTTATTTTTGACAGGGGATATCTGTTTTTACTATCTAACGAATAGCTTTGCTCTCTCTTTCTCTTTCTCTCTCTCTTCTTAATGTAACTTCCCTCCAGATAAAATCGATTAAATGGAATATCACATATAGATTTTTGCATTTTGCAATCTTCTCTCTCTCTCTTCCCAATCGAAAACTGAACCTTAATGCCTCCCTGATACCTTTAGATAAAAGTAAAATATATTAATATATTTAAAAGTATAAGAGATAAAAATGTATATAATGCAGATATAAGCATCAAGAAACGACAAGAAACTCTTTAAATTCCTCAATTTTTTTTAAATTTCTTTAAACTAATTTATTATAAAACTAATTAATTATGGTCATAATTAAGTCAATTTCGTTTAAAAATAATTTTATTTTTAGTAAAAATCGACGTAAAATACGTGTATAAAGATAGAAAATTTATGGATAAATTACATATATGTCTGCTAAATGTTACTTTTATCTTTAAAAAAATTTAGTATAAATGTTAATATTTGTGTTAATTATCGTTAAACATTCACAAATAATTATTTTTTAAGTAGAAAAGATTAAAAAGTTGTATGTTAAATACATTTTTCTTTGGGGGAAAAAAAATTAGCTCTCTTGCGAGATATTGATTCGGAAAAGCCAGGCCAATGAAAGAAAGAAAGAAATGAAAAACACTTAATTTCTTTAATAAATTAAAAAAAAATAAAATAAAATTTAAAATTTAATTTAATATGATAATATATATTTTATTCGATAAAATATTCAATTAACTTCACTGAAAACCTAGAAAATTCGCATCATAAGCGGCATCAAGAAGAGCAAGAAGAGCAAAGAATAAATTTTATAATTATTCTTTGCTTTCTGATATTTTTTATTTATCAATTTTTTTTCATTTTATAAAAAGAAATTACAATTTTAATTATTTACAAATTTTATTTCTGTTTTACAATTTATTATTATTATTATTTTATTTACAAAATATTACATTTACAAATAAAAATTGTAATTATTTTCATTTTATACAAAATATTTGTAAAAATTACAATCAAAAACACTCTTCTCGATTAATAAATATATTAATTAAATAATTTAATTCGAATTTTAAACTATTTATAAAAATCAAACACGAGTTTAAAATATTTTATAATTAAATTTATATTGAAATATTTTTATTAACAAATAAATATTTACTTGTAAAAATATATATATTTTAACATTGAACTAAGCGAGATTACGAAAGGTGATACAGAAATAAATTCAATAATGTCGTTCATAATCTCATTCATTCATTGATATAATTAATAAATTATCCTATTGATTTCTTTCCATTATCTCTTCATCCGATACATCATCCTCTTTAGCAGAGAATCAAATGTATTATTTGGATATCATTTCCACATTAATTACTCTTTTATAATTATCAAACTGAATCGAAAACATTGGTTTAACGTTGACGAAGATTGTAATTAATGTTTTATCCACTTTAATTGTCATTTTAATCAATTTTTATTTTATATATTTGAATATAAAAAATGGAATTTTTTAAATTTGATTTACCGTTAATTAATTAATTTATTTATTTATTAAATATTTAAGAGTTAATTGAAATATTTATATCGATGATGATCGAGCATTTTTTTAAGGTAAGAATGTTGTGTATTATAAGTAAGAATAATGTATAATTTATGTTATAATTTTTTTTTAATATGGGCATTTATCTTTATAAATTATTTTAAAAATTAATTAAATTATTTACTTATTTTTAAAATTAAATTTAAGAATTAATAGCGAATTCGACGACCATACTAATGATGTTTTTTAAAGTAAAATGGGAATAAAATATATGTAGTTTATGTTATATTTTAATGGAATTTATAAACGTTTAGCTTTGTAATTGTTAAAAGAAGAGGATAATTTAATCTAAATTAAATAATTTATTAATCCCGAGATATAACAGCGAAGCAATGTCATTAATTGCTTCCAATCCAATCGACCTAGAATAATTCCAAAGGATATACGGAATGAGTTCTTTTCACATCACGTTCTGTTCACAATGGCACGTGTTAACGTTTTCAATTTGTCACGTCTGCTGTCTCAAATCTGCACGTGACATCAACAAACTTTCCACCTCATTATCCGAGAGGCGTCACAGCCCCTGTAAATCTCTCTTCTCCTTATGGCTAGCTATCACTGCAGTGAAAACCATTCGCTTGTTTTCAATCGTTTCCGCTTGTTTTTACTAATGTTTATCGATTAAAAAATGTACAAAAAGAAAGGGAAAAAAGAATGGGAAACAGATTAAAGATGGATATAAAAAGACTCATCTGCCTGGATCTACGAGAATCGAAATTGTATGTTGACTTAGAAAATCTCCATTACGTCTGATTGTGGCTCGTGCATTGTTAAAGGACCTGGAGGTGACACCTCACTTGAGGGGGTATCATTTCCTCCTAGTTGACGTCCATTCTCCAATGTTGTTGTTAGAAATTTATCACGACGGGGGTCAAGTTCTGCATCTGTCACTTTACGGGAATCAAATTTTTATAAAAACATTCTCGGATAATGAAATCTTGTTTACGGACACATCATCCACACGCGCATCTTTGTTTGTGCAGAGTATTTGACGAGTTTAAACCCCGTTTTAGCGCTTAAAAGCAGCGTTAAATCGATCATCTAAATTAAAACCCGTGCAAAGAGCTGGCGAATTTGATCGATTTAATGAAGGAAAATAATCGCCCGAACGATCATTTTTATAATTTATTCGAGTCGGAGACGATGTTAAAAATGCCGCCAACACTTGCGAAAACACGAGAACAGGTGTCTCTTTACTTTTCATCCAATGAGAGGAGGCAATCACCATATCCACCAATCAAACGTTTGGCGTACATCCGACATACCGACAGTCGACATTAGGGCGGTTCCGAGACCATAAGACCAGAAACGCCGCATTTGCTATCTACCGTTTGTTCCCAATATTTTACACGCATCTTTCCCCCTTTCCTCAGCTTTACGCATAAGGGGGGACTCGAAAAGGGGATGATGGGATCCGTTATTGGTCACGTGTCGCCCCTCCTCCAGTGGCATTTGCTGTCGGGTGTCAGAACCCGCCTACCTTAGCGACGAGAGCTGATCTAAACGGCAAACACATCCAAGACGATTGAATGGAGATGACGGAAAGTGAAACGGGCATCCCTCATGCTTCTAGACCAGCCAGTGTCGCCTCATCCTCGACTGATGGTGAGTTTTTTAAAACAATTTATGCAAAAAAATCCGTTAAGGGAGGAAGAAGAAATTTAACCTCATCTCGCGAGAATTTGCTTCATCTTCTTCCTCCTCCTTCTCCTCCTCATCTTCTCCTCTTGGAGCGATGCTCTCTCTCTCTCTTTTCCGATTTTCTGCTCCTCTTTACTATCTAAAAACGGGATAAATTAGTACGTTTCTATCTTAACTTTTTTCATTTCTGATTCTCGTATGAAGTATTCAGAAATGCATTTATCTTACCTCGCTTTTAGTATAGACAGCAGACCCAACTGGTTGATCTCCTTCATCCTGCGCCTGCTGATGTGGCTTTACAGCTATACTTAGGTGTTATGCGGGGAAGCGCGCATTTCGAGTATAGGAATTTCTAACTCTAAGCGATTCTCTAGACGAATATGCGAATTTTTTAAAACCCGAACACGATTCCAAAACGCCATAATTTCCATTCAATCATTTAAAATAAATTTTAATTAAATTAAATCGTTAAAATAAAATCTAATCGAGTATAATTCTCCTCCTCCTCTTTCTCTTCTTCCTTCTGTTATCTGGAGATATAATAAAAGAAATCTTAGGTGATTAATTAGAAAAAGTATCATTTAAACTAAATTATTTAAAGATAATTTTAATTAACTCAGCGTGATTAGCTGTTTCCTTTTTTAAAAAGTCCAAATGAAAATTGTCAATCAAGGTAAAACATGGTGCATCAGTTTCCAAGTAATTCGAGTTAGAGAAGGGGGATGAAACACAAGGAAAGAAAGGAAAAGAAAAAAAATACTAGAGGAGAATGTAGAAGTTTTCAAAGGCGTATCTAGAAAACAATGTCGTTTAAATCCTGTTTTCTGTGTAAAAGAATCTTCTCGACACACTAAGCAGCATTCTCGGTTACAGTCCTGTATGCTAATTACTTACACTATCTAATTAGTTAGAAGAAGAGACAAGAGCCTTTTCAAACTACATACATCTAACACCTTGATTGGGTTGATGGAATTTCTAGGAGGGGTGTTTTTTTCCTCCTCCTCCTCCTCTTCCCTGTGTATGTGTGTGTGTCTCCTCTCTTCACCTTCCTACTCCCAACTCGGAATTAAAGCGTATTACTACAGCCAACAGGATATAACAATTGCTCTTGATGCAAATAGCTGAATCTGAGAGTGGATCCGACCAACTCAACGATTGGGGGAAGCTTTACCGTTGGGATTAAGCTTGATGAAATCAATGCCGACCTGCTTCATACTATAACGTAATTAATTTTCAACTATTGTGTCAATTGGGCGAAAGATGATGTTGAAGGTGACGTCAGTGGCCATAGAAAACTTTTCTGTTTTTGATTTTTAAAAATCCCTTCTCCTCCTCCTCCTCCTCTTCCTCCTCCTCCTCTTGCTGCTGATGCTGCTCCTTCTTCTTCTTTTTTTTTATGTTGTAATGGATTCAATGCTAATCTGCTATTCATGAAGTGTTTTTTAAGCGTTGCTAATCTTATTTATAGGAGAATGTTTTGTAGTTGGGAAGTTTTTCGACTTTTAGACGATTCCTTTTCTCCTTTTTCTCTTGCTCTTCCTTACTTATTATTATTTTTCTTCCTTCTTCTTCTTCTTATTCTTCTTTCTTATCCTTTTCTTAAACTGTATTCTTCGATAATTGCTATTTTCAGACCTTTATATGGTCTTTTAAATAAGAAAGAAGGCAAATTTTCATTGATGTGATAAATTATTGAGGTATTATCCACTTTTTTTAAAGAAAGATTATGTTAAATTGTTTTTTATACTTCATTTTTTCTAATTAAATCACCATCGAATGTTCTTTCTCATATTACGTTTTCCCAACTTTAATAACGTTGTTTGATGCTTAAAAATCGTTTCTACGCGATTAAATTGTACGGGTTTTTATAATCTTTAACGTATTTTTCTGTGAAAGGTTCGAATGTTAACGAATAATTTGCTTAAAAGTCTCCTTTCTACATCCTTCTTCACTCCTCGATGATCTTTTTAAGTTGGATAAATGAGAATTGTTGGTGTAAATTTCGAAAAAATATCGATTATATGTTGCTTAATATCCGAAAAATATAAGGTTAAAGGTCACAATAAATCAAATTTTAACAAATTAAAAGGTTAAGTTACGTAAAAGTGTGCAAAAGACGAGGGAAAATGAGGGAAAAGCTATTGATCATCCCATATGTTTTTCCCACTTAACAATGTTGTTTAATGATTAGAAATCGCTTAAACATAATTAAATTGTATAGATTTTTATAATTTTTAGCGTATTTTCCTATAAAAGATTAAAATTCTATTTAATAATTTGCTTAAAAGTTACTCTTTCTACATTTTTCTTCAGTCGTAAATAGTCTTTATAATTTAAATAAATAAAAACTATTGATTTATAAATCTTGTAAAGAGTTTAATATTTATAAAATATATGAAATTAAAAGTTATAGAAAATAAAATTTTGGTAAATTAAAAAGTGTAGAAACATAAAAGAAAGAAAAAGATGAGGGAAAAGTCATAGATAAGCCCATAAGTCATAGATAAATCACCAAGCTTTATCATGCGATTTCTTTGTTTTAAACAAAAAATTACACATGATAAAGCTCGGTAATTTGTTTAAAATATTTTATAGAGAATATCCTTATTCATAAACAGAGATAAATTTATAATAACCAGAGTTAAAAGCTTCTGAATCTATCTCCTTAAAGTAAGGATGCTTATATTCAGGAGATGGTTTATTCTATCGTTCTCTCTTAAATGATGCTTAATTTTAGTTATTATAACGTTCTCTTTTATTTTTTTAAAGATGATTTTTGTTAAATATATACTTTATTTCCCTAAATATCAAGAGTAATAATCCATTTAACTCCACAGCATCACTAGAAAGAAGAATGTATAATGGTTAAGTTTTTGCTATTTTTTAAAAAACATAGAATAATTTCTGTAAATTTTTAGTATTTTATGAAAGAAACACTTCTAAATTTATGCAAATAATCAAAATTTACACTATTTTATAGCTAATAATTAACATTTAACATCAAACACTCTGCCACTCGTAGCTTATCTTCTTCATCCAGTTGAGTGCAATTTTTGTAGGTTACGATGTGTTTTCTGCTAAAATAATTAAGAAATATTTATTAAATATACTAAAAATTAAACAAAAACACGCTCCTATGTTAATTTGGAACCATATTTTTGGACCAAAATTAGTTTTTATAGCTTAAAAAAAACGGAAAAATATTGTTTAATTTCAATAATTTTGTAGAGGAAATTCTAAAACATATACAAATAAATATTATCTGTAACAGTATTATGGAGTTTGTAATTAGAGATTTTGATCAATTTTCATTATTAACAGTAGATTAGTTTTAACTAGTCACGCAATAATGTAATATTGTAATTGCAAGTTAAATTCAATGATGATAATTACGCACATTCTCATCATTATTAACATTGAAACGTTAGAAATTGCATTTTTTATCCTTTAAAAATACTAAAAATCTATAAAATTTTGTAATCATATACAGTTAATATCGAATAATTTTAGATTTAGATACAAATTGGTTTATTAATAATACATTTTATCATCATCCTCTTGAGCATCTTTACATTATGTATTGATAAGAATGTATCTTTCTCTGTATTTTAGTTCTGAAAGATGCTAAAATCTGAAATATTTTTAAAAATTAAAGCGTTTTTTTTCACTTGTATAACGTTTAAAAATGTTGTTAGGATTTTTATTTTCCGTTTAATTAAAAATTTACAGTTTAAATCTTAATAGAAACACTGTAAACATCATCCACAGATCCAGCAGATGATGAGAAGAATTATCATTAATTTTAGTAGAACAAAGCTTTATTTATGTTTTAGACGCAATAAAATTTAGAAATTTTGGCTAAAAATCTCTACGCTCCTCGACAGATAACAGATTTACTCATTAACATTATTAGATTTTAAGGATTACAGTAGAAAAGTTCCCGTCAACAATAACAAAATAACATAGCTTTAATAGGAGATTTGGTCTAACTTCACTAATCGTAGCCACAAAAGGAAGAAATCAGCATTAAGTTGGGTCCTTCACACCATCAATCTGATTGAATTTGTGCCCTACGAAGGTCGATAATTAAGTCGAGCTTACTCATCATTTCCACCTACAAAAAGGGGGATAGTTTGGGAGTTTGACCTTCTCTACGGTTAGTTTACACGTCACAGGAGGTCGTAACACTATTAAAATACGCGCCAGAGATGTTCAACAAAGTAAAAGATACGGAGGAGAAAAGATGCTATAAATAAATGGAAACGTATCGTGTCATCCCAGATTTAATAACATTATGTAGAATGCATCGTAGCAATCATTGGATATTAACCTCTCTGGGGGAAGAGGGAGAGAGAGAGAGAGAGAGAGAGAGAAGACCTTCATCTCGTGACAGACGCCGTCAAAACGTCACTTGGCCATATCCAGCAAAAGGACTTATACCAGTCCGATTGGGCTTAAGCCTAGTCTGGGAAATTGAATGGTATGGGATTGTGGGGGAGCGTTGGCAATCCTTACACCCGCTTCAGACCCGCTTTAAAAGGAATTATGTGTCCTGGATGCGATTGAATAGGGAATATCCGCTTAATCGAACGCCGTCTGACTTTGTCCACTACTGCATTGATTCCGTGTCTTTCTACTCCACAGAAAAATTATCCTTTGTCATGCCGTTTTGTTTATGTTCCAGCATCGTTTTTAAAAGCATCCCTATTTTACAAACTTCTAAAATCGAGAGGGAAAAAGCGCCAGCATCCGTCTTCATCTTCCCTATCCCGGATAATTACGCTTTCTTGTATTTACCATCCGTGTTGTAGGTGTCCCTTATGAGTGTAAAAATACTTTATAAGGTGGTAATTTTTTATTCGATCCTTATTTTATTCAATTCCTTATTATTTGTTTATCTTGTGCATCTCAAGCACGTTTCTCTTTAAAAGAATAAAGAATTTCTCAACGTTTTTCCTACATTTCTTTGATAATAAAGGTTGATTATCCTGTAATAATAGTAATATTTTGCTCCTTTTACTCTTCACTTTATTCTTTTCGTAAAAAGGATAATAAACGATATTTATTACCTTAAACAACAGCTTAATCCTTATTTTTTAGAAGAATAATATATTTATCATCCTGAATGATGATATCAGTTCTATCCTCTTGCTCCTTACTAAAACAAGGCATCTCTTAGCATTTATTCTTTATTACAGAATAATACAGGATAAATATATCTATTATCCTAAACGTAGCATTATTTTTTTCATTTTATTCTTTTACGAAAGACATCTCTCAATGTTTCCCAGGATAATACAGGATAAGAATGTATATTATCCTAAACTAATATCTTTACTCCTTATCATATTTTTCTCATAAAAATAAAGCATCACTCATATCGAGTCCTTATTTTCCTGAATAATAAACAATACCAGTAAATGTCACTATTATCTTAAACATAGCATCACTTCTCTCCTCCTACTCTTCTCACAAGAAAATAAGGCATCATTTAACATCGACCTCTTATTTTCCTGGATGATTCCATTACCCTAAACACACACGATAATAAGGCGTTATTCATCATCCACTCCTTATTTTCCTAAATAATAAAAGATAAATGCTTCCATTGATCTAAACACAGCATCCTCTCCTCCTCTTTCTCTTCCTCCTCCTCTCACACAAAAATAAAGCATCAATCAGCATCTACTCCTTATTTTCCAGGATAATAAAGGATAAATATATTACTCGATTCAACCTTTATTTTTTCCCCTCTACATCCTCCAACTCCTCACCTATGTTTGCAGGTTTGCTTGTGTTCTTGTCATCCCCATTCTTCTAGGGGGGATTTAATAGAGTCTGTGCAAAGATAGGAAGCAATAAGGTCATAGGACAGAAGCGGTGTTGGCATCGTCCTAGTGCATTGGGGTAGAATTATTATCAATTCTAGAGGGGATCGAATCAGAAACCCATGGCCTAAAGGACTGAACCGTTGACAGCTGTGCCACGCGACTCGACCCTTCTATTGAAGACATTCTGTTCGTGGTTTTGGCAGTCGAAAGAAATCTGAAAAAGAAGAATGGCGAAAGGTTTTCTTTTTTGTTCGAGAATTCTTAAAATAGAAGATGGAAATTGAAAACCATCCCCCATCAGATTATTTTAGAATCTTCTCTTGCATCTTTTTCATCCCTCTCCTCCCTCTTTTTTCCTATAATAAAAATTCATATTTTTTAAGCAGATGAGGAAGAGGAAGAGAAAGAATTGGATAAAGAAACGCTTTCACTTTCGTTTATTAGTATTTTTTTATACAATACTTTCTTTCTTGTTATAATCTTGTATCTGTGGCTGCGAGGATGCTTAGAAAGGGAATTTAATCAGTTTAATTTCGGAATAACCGAATTTATTTCTATATTTTTGTATTTTTTAATTTAATATTCTCACTTTAAACTTGTCATTATAAGTAATTTTAGTGGTTAAAAATCCTCTTAAACGTATCAAGTACTGTACACACAGTTCTTGTAGCATCGTATACTAGAAGAGCTCATCTAGAATCTTAAATTTATTTTGTAGCAAAATATTTAGAAATTTTTACTTTAAATTCTCACTTTAAACTTGTCATTATAAGTAATTTTAGTGGTTAAAAATCCTCTTAAACGTATCAAGTACTGTACACACAGTTCTTGTAGCATCGTATACTAGAAGAGCTCATCTAGAATCTTAAATTTATTTTGTAGCAAAATATTTAGAAATTTTTACTTTAAATATATAAATTCATCTTAAAAATTTAATTTTTAAGCATTTGTTAAGTGTTTTAAATATATATTTTTATATTAAAACTGTGTTTTAAAGCCCAGTTTATGTGTATCTTCTTGCATAAAAAAATCTCATCTTACACTCTTCCTCTTTGGATTTTTTTTTTATTAAAAATTGAATTTTTTAACAATTATACTTTATTATTTTTAAATTAAATCATTTTATTTATTAAATAAATTAATTTAATTAACTATAATTCATAGATTATCTTTTGTTTCTCATCGAGAAAACAGTGCTTCCAACTAAAAATTCGCTTAGTTTCAGCGACAAAATTTGGAGATTAAAAGCTCGAATCTTCAAATATTTTAATTTTTTTATATTTTGAAGGTTTATGTATCGATTTATGTATAAAAATCCGGATTAAAAATAAGAAATATGAACGTAAAGGACGTACAAATTCTATATATAATCTCTCACACCTCCATACTAAGTCTATGGGATGAGTTAGGATGAGTTGGGATGAATTGAAGAATTTTAATATTTAGCCCTTAAACTTGGGTTTTTTTAATATTTTAAACTCATTAAACGTGATTTTTAACATTAATTTCATGAAATTTTGAATAATTTTATGAAATTTTCGAGAGATTTTGGTAAATTCCTGCATCAAAAGTATCATTTGGAACATTTCGAAACCAATTTTATCCTTCAAAATATTAATTTTATATTAGGAATATTTAAATTTAAAAAAAATATATCAGTAATTACATTTAAAATTGTATACAGAAGAAGAAAAATGTTTACTTTTAACGTAATTAAGTTAAAAATTTATAGATAATTCATAACAACGTCAAGTTACTATCTATTAGAGGTTAAAAAACCAATAAAAACAGTAAAAAATCATGCAAATAAGGTTTAATTTTTAGTTAAATTAAACATTTATACACTAAACTAACTTTAAAATTTTAATTTTATTATATTTATTCCATTTTTCTTTGCTAAAAAGGTGATGCTGAGCTGTACGAAGGGTCGTGTTATCACAACGTGCAACCTCTTTATTCTAAGTTTAAACATCAAAATTTCGAATTTAATTAAATAAAAAGCATTAAAATACGTTTCTAATTTATCAAAAAATCATTTTATATCTATTAAACACTTATTTTTAAAGATTAAAGTGAGTTTTTCCCTCCTAAGATACATGCCAAGAACTATACCGAGTTAAGGTGTTAGATATCGCGCTTTTATCATTATCATCATCATCATCATTATCATCATCAATTGCTGTTCTAATTTTTATTCTAAAGACTTTATTTTAGGCCTACATCCCTAATTCGGGTCATTTGTATGTGAATTAATCTCATATCCCGCATCCGAAACTCATCCAGCATCCTCATTTATCCATTGTACAATGGATACTTTATCCATTTCCTAAGCGATTTAAAAAATCTCTAGGCCTCTATTGAATCCTAATAATGGATTGTACGAATAAAATACACGTTCAACTAACTTAGAAATGCAGAATTTTTTCTTTTTTATTAACTTGAGTCGGGTTGCATGTCGAGAAATTAAATTAAATTCATCAATGAGATGCTGGAGATGCTGGAGAGGAAGAGATGGCATCAACTGCAATTAACATCTTTAAGGAACGTAAGAAGGAATCTGCAATTGTAAATTTCGAATATATATTAAGTTTAATAATGTGAAAATGGAGATTTTTCTTTTATTTTATGTTTCATTGAGTTGTAACAAGAAACAAATTTGACATTTTAAATCGATGTGGCGTGTGTATAGAGATATATTTACAGCATGGGGGAGTAAGAGAGCTGTATTAATTTATTTATACGATAATTCGTATAAATTTATAGATATTTGGTATAATTACAAACCTATAAATGCTGTAATTTTACAAATATTATTAAAATTGTAACGGTTTTGTTGATGCCCGCATCACTTCTCTTTAGAGATGCTAACATCTGGAGAAATCGTATCAGTTGGGATAATTGCTTGATATTCGTAAAAAATTAAGAAAAATTATAGAAATCTTTCTCATCTTTATCGAGGATGAAAATATTAGTAAGAGGGGGTTCATCAATAAGACGATTCCTCCTAAATTAATGCTGTTCTTCTGCTTATAAACTATACCAGGAGCACCCCCGATATAAAAGTTAAGATATTGTACGCTTAACGGAGGTTCATTACCCTAAAATTAAAGCAGGATATACTTTAATTTATATTAGAAAAGTGCAGATAAAGGATACTTTAGAAAGATGCTGCTCAATTACAGGCCTGCGAGTAATTTAGGCAAGGATGCGCGCTCATAAATAGAGGTTTTTTCCTCTAAAATGTTGCAAAATTCCGATTGCAGAACGAAGCAGTATCAGTTTGAGAGAAGAAGGCACTGACTGATAGTCCTTTTCTAGCTATAACAGAGGAACTATCAGTCAAGGAAAGGCAAGTATACACTCGATAACACGCAGAATACTCCCCCTAAACTATTGAAGAACTATCATTCTTAGAGATGCATAGCCTTTCTGTCCAGCGCACGCATCACCATCACTCAGGATAACTCCATTCATCCGCATCCCTGACGGATTACTCCCTTATACAATTACACCTAAAAAAACCCTTATTTTTTCCCTAAACAGAATCGTCGCACGCCGCCACACCGAGCACCATAGAGGGAGAACGTTCCCCCATTTCTCCGGACCTAGAAGGGCCCCAGTCACCCCCTTACTGCGCCACGGTATCGGTTCACAGCTTCTACAACTCGCAGCTGAACCAGGCCCACCCTAGGCAGCACCTGACGCCCTCGGGGGGCCCCCTACAGACCATAGGGGACCACGACAGCAGCACAGGTAGCCTATCGAGCCACAAGCGCTCGTCTCCGGGTCTAACTTGTGTGGTGTGTGGTGACACATCGAGTGGCAAACACTATGGCATCCTGGCTTGCAACGGGTGCAGCGGGTTCTTCAAGAGGAGCGTAAGAAGGAAGCTGATATACAGGTGAGTTTCATTGTGTATTGTGCTCTTGTACGGTGGGTATTCTTCGAATTTAAGCCGTGTACAGCTCGGAAAAACCTAATAAAGTCAAAGGGGGTTTAGTTGAAAGGCCTATTACGATTGGCAATTCTTTCCCGTTTGAAGATAGCTTTGCTATCATTGGATAGGCGATTTGTCTCACCAACGAACGACCTCTCGACTGTGCTTTAGTCAGGTGTTGGACAAGAAAACGTGTTAAAGGAACACTCTGTGACGAAATCAGTGTCATCTGAGCCACCAGACACGTGTCCTGAATAGAAGGAAACGCCGTTTCCTTGATTGCATTACCTATGTCCAAGAGTTAATGGAAAAGAAATGCTTTCCTTTCCGGCCAACTTAAGTCCCATTTCTGTAGAAACTCCGGGCTTACAACACGTCTACACTTCTCCATCTTTTTTCTATGTATTAAAGGGACTTTTTATAGTAAAATAATTAAGATTTTATGGTTTTAAAATCCGTATTTTTTCCTTTTCCTTAATTTAAAAATTTGGAGTGAAAATTTAGTTTTCTTTTCAGGAATATGCTTTTTTTTTCTTCTTTGTTTTTACACGGAGTTTGGAGAAAAATTTCGAAATTAATCGCGTTTTTTTAATTAAAAACGTTTTTTAGAAGGAAAAACTTTAACTTTTTTTTATTTTTATATGTTAATTTCTTTTAAATTCGAATTAAATTTGATTTTCCAACATCCTCCACACCTATCATCTTTAATCTCCCCTCATTCGTCGCATCCGTCATCTTCTACATACCTCATCCCTCTCATCCTTTATTCTTCGTATTCCTCGTTCCATACATCCGCATCCTCCGCATTTTACATTCTTCACATCTTTCCACATCCTTCGTTCTTTGCATCTCTCATTCACTACATCCCTCTTTCTTTTCATCATTTATCCTCCATATCCTTCATCATTTGCATCCTTGTCTTTCGCATCCAACATCCTACACGCCCTCATCGTTTGCATTCCTCATCATTCGCACTTCTCATCCCACACACCCGCATCTTATGCATTCAACATTCTTCAATCTTTCCACATCCTTCATCATCCCTCATCCGTTTTATTATTTATCTTCCTCATCCAGCCTCCTATTCATTCATCATCCTTCGAAAGTCTTATTTTCTCCATCTCTCATCCTCCGTATCCTCATCCTCAGCATCTAAAGGATAATTTCAACATTTAACGCTTTTCCTGTTGAAAATATAAGTTTATCTAAAGTAAAGTTCATGAAAAACATTATAAAAACCGCTTATTTTATTTTATTTCTTGTGTAGATGCCAAGCAGGAACTGGAAATTGTGTAGTAGATAAAGCCCATAGAAATCAGTGCCAAGCTTGCAGATTGAAGAAATGTCTTCAAATGGGAATGAATAAAGATGGTAAATATATTTTTCTAACCATTTTTTAATCGTTTAAATTAAAATTTTACTTTTATAATTATAAAATTTATTTTTAAAAATCTAAGTTTTAATTTTAAAAAAAATCGATTTTTATAACTAAAACAAAAGCAGCATAAAATCCTACAAAATTGAGTATTTTTATTGATTTTTTTCATTATTATAATAGCATATTTTTAAAATATGAATTAATTATTAATTAAAATTGAACTTAAAGACCATTCAACGCGAATTAAATGCTGTTAAAATTGTGTAAAACACTTCTAATCGCTTTAAAATTAATTTATTTTTCTTAAATTACCTTTTATACTTATTTAAAAATTAATTTATTTTATAAAATTCCTACACTTTTCCATCGAAAAATCTTAATTTTTAAGTGTTTTATCCATCAGAATCGCGAAAAAAGCATGAAGTTTATGGCGATGATGATGGACTTTAATGGACTTTTAAAGCATTTTACGTAAAAAATAAATTATTCTTAAGCTAAATAACGTGTTGATTTAAAAATTTATACAATGTAAAGCATTTTAAAAGCCTGGAAATCAATTTAAGAGCTTCCAATCGCGTGTAAAGTTGGAAACAAAACAAAGACTTATATCAAATTTTGGTTCATTCATCAAACATTGAAGCGGGTGTCAAGATGTAGAGAAAAAAGAAAAGGCCCATTTCTAAGATAAAGGCAGATAACATAATCCCAAGATGGCTTTTTTTAACGTGTTTTATTGCCATTGATTGCAACTAATCTACTACTGTGATTATCTGGATTTTACGCAATAATTGTTCGATCTAACTTAATCTTGATCTATTATATACCTATTCAAATCCTGTTTTTAACTACTAAAAATTATTTTTTCTTTAATTTTCTAAATTTTTCGACCATAATCAACGTTTACTTTAAAGAAAATCGTTAAAAAATCACTCGTTTTTCGTGAATTAACTATAAGAAGATGCTGGAAAAGATGCGGATGCTGATGCAGAGATCTACATCTCCGCATCCTCGTGAACATCTAAATTATTAAATTGCAAGCTGTGGAGGCGATTATATGTAAAAATAAACCTCTAAATTAGAAAATTAAAAAAGGAATTTAGTTAAATAGTAAAATTTATATCGTTTTAATCTATTAAAATCGTGCTGTACTTGATTCAGTTTCATTGTTTGTGTATCTGAAATAAGAGAAGTTTCATCGCCTGTTACGTGGTTTTTAGGCGAATAAAAAATTATCATATTTATTTAAAATAATATTTATAACATAATTAATTAAATAACATAGTATTAAACTAGTAAATTGTTACGTATTGACTATAGGAGAATGCGGATGAGGATGCAGAGATCTGCATCTTTGCATATCCGCATCTTCATCTATATTTAATTTATTAAATTAGTTATTTATATATATGAATAAGTTGTTTAAAAGTGGTTTTAAAGACTAAATTAAGGCTCGTAGCATAAAATAATATTTTTTCTAGGATTCATTTCCGAAAAAATTAAAGGAAAAATCCTATAATCTTTCTACCTGATAAACCTGTGAGCGTTAAAGTATAAAGATATGTGAAAATTTTACCTTGTTTATCCTAATATCCTATCCTATATCCTGTATTCTGGTATCATTATAAGCATTCTATATTATATTATCCTACTACTACAGTACGATAATATATCACGACTAACAGCTAGGGAGTTGTTAGTAGGATAATAATATAATATAGAATGCTTATAAAGACATTTCTAGGATCTAACTACTCAAATATTACTTTAATTTTATTGTTATAATCCTAAATTTTATACTATTCAATGATAAATATAGTAATATTTAACAATTTATAAGTCAAAATATTAAGTAAAAAAGTTTCATCTAATAATGTACTGTACAAATTCTATGATTATTCTAATAGATTTAGTAATAAATCCTTGCTAAACTATGCTTTTTTAATTAAATATTTCTACTTTATCCTTGTTACTTTTTACTAATATTCCTATTTTATCCTTTATCCAGATTATACCTATTTTAATTATCCTTTAAACATCATTAACAACAAACAGCATCCTATTTTCATATTTAAGTGAGGCAGCATCCTTATTTTTTTCTAACATTCTTCAATTTTATTCCTATAAAACGTTCCTAAAACTTCAATAACAAGATTCTATAATATTAAATATAACAAATATTTTTTTCTTAATACTAAATTAATGCAGTAAAATAGAATAATATTTGAATATTATGATGCAGATCCGCATCAGTGATGTCCTACATGGATTAATTTGCACGCGTGTTAAGTTTATCGAGAAAATATCCCTACACGATGCTTGATTCACGGATTTAGAGAAATTAAATTGAATATTTTTTTTATTTTGAGACGATACATAACATGTTTTAAGCATGTATAAGTATATAAATACCAAATATTTTCTAAATTTTAGCCATGATTTGCATGAATATGTTCATTCGCTGATTGGGATTCTCTGCATTCTTCCTGGATAAAATGTATTAAAATGTCTTTCAAATAACAACATTTTTATATTTATAGTTAATATAATTTATATTTCATTGAAAAATCATAAAAGTACAAACTTTTTGTAATATTTTTCATTTTTCGAAGTCTTTTAAAGCTCTCCATTCTTTAGTTAATAAGTTTATCCACGAGTCTCTCCATTATTCTTAGAAAAAAATATATTAAAAATCACATTTGTATAAAATATTCTTTACATTTATTATTAAAATAATGCATATTTTATTGAAAAAATCATAAAAATTATCAATTTTTATTGTACTTTTTATGTTTTGTAGTCATTTATGGATCTAATTATACTTGATTACGTTTATCCACGAGCATCTCCATTCTACCTTTAATAAAGTTGATTAAAATCCTGTTTATATAATAAAATCTTTATGATTTTAGTTAAAATAGTGTATATTCTATTAAAAAATTATAAAAATCATATGATTTTCATGATAATTTATACATTTCCAAGTCATTTATGAAGCTAACCACTCTTTAATAATATATGAGCATCTCCATTCTTCCTTGATAATGTTGATTAAAATCTCATTTGCATTATAAAATCTTTATATTTTTAGTTAAAATAACGTGTATTTTATCAAAAAATTATAAAAATTGCCAGTTTTTACAATAATTTTCACTTTTTGTAATCATTTTTGGAGCTAATTATACTCGAATACATTTATCCAAGAGCATCCACATTCTTTCTTGATAAAGTTGATTAAAATCTTGTTTATATAATAAAATCTTTATGTTTTTAGTTAAAATTACGTATATTTTATCAAAAAAAATCACACAAATTGTAAGATTGTTACGATAATTTTTACGTTTGGAAATCATAAAATAGACTCAACGCCTACGAATGGATGCTGGAGGAGAGAGGCAGAGAGAGACTCGTATTTTACTCGAAGCAGACATAAATTATCTTTCGAGTGCCAAATTGTATCAATTGGAAACACTTCAAACAAACAAAATTTAGAAAGGAACAAAATATTCCATTGGAAAGAGAAGAAGAAATAAAATAAAATAAAAAAGAAAGTAGAAAGCAAAAATATTCAGTTAACGTGTTACTGTTAGATTCTACATAATTTTCTCAGTCGCGAGCGCGATGATTGAAATGACAAAAGGACGAGAAGACGAAGAGGAAGACGAAGAAGGAAGAGGAGGACCAATAAAAATTATTTTTATAAAATCAAATTTGAATTTTATTTCGTTATTCTTGTATATATAATAAATAAATAAATAAATAAAATTCAATAAGAATACGTATATTTAAAGAAATATTTTTTGTAATATTTAAATAAGTTTATTCTTGTTAGAAAAAGAATGAAAAATAAAGAGATTTTTATATATTTTTTTCTTATTTTTTTTTTATCAATATAAAGGGGTATAAAGTGTGATAATTTGCATCTCTTCAACATAGAGATGAAACTGTTTGTGTGCTTCTCTATTGTGTAGAATAGAAAATAATATAACGATTCTTATAATAAAATAACTGTCTTTACCAATAAATTGGCGAAATTTTTATTGAATAAATATACTTTTTTCCCCGTTTTTTTTTAAATGATAATTTTAATAGAAATAACAAAATTTTCAAACGTTTGTTTAATTCGTTTTGACTCTCTCCTATGTTAAAGTATAGAAACTTCACAAAGGACGTATCTCTTCGAGTTGCATTCTATATATGTAAATATCTCGTTTAATAATAGAAATATGCTATTTTTAAGTAAAGAAACTTTATTTAATGATAATAAAATGTTTTCTTTAATTTATTGAGAAGAGCATCGTTCCTATACGATTTAGAAGTGAAAAATAAGGCAAATTTTTATACTTTTTTGTTAAGAAACTCTTTATTTTTAATGTTTAATTTTTATTTTTTCTATATTTTTCTGCCCCTATAGTCGAGAAAATTGTTATTTTGAACGAAAAATATGTTCTATTTCTTTCCATTTTTCGAAGGTACTTTCCGGATTATAACCTCAAATCTTCAAGTTCCAACGTTATTTTTTCTAAAAAATAACTTAAAATCAATCATCAATTTTTAAGACTATTCTTTTAAAATTTAACTATAATATAGCCTATATATATATATTATTTTTTTAAAACTATTTTCTTTCAGAAGATAAAACTGAAATTATTTATTCTTGAAGTTATTCTTTAGAATACGACTTTAATAGTCTTTAAAAATATCCCATATTAGTAAATTATTTCCAAAATATAGTATAAAATCTGAAATTTTTGGAATTTATTCTTAATTTTAAGTTATTTTTTTAAAAGAAATTACGTAAATAACATGTTTTAAGCTTGTAATCTTTAAATAAATCCTACTTTAAGACTGTATAATGATGAACACGAAATCATCTGGTAATATCCTCGAGCTTAAATGTATAAAAATATAGCATTAAAATGAATAAATAGCAATTACTTTTAAAGTTTTTAAAGAAAATTTTAATATTCTTATTAAAAAAGTCGAAAATATAGAAGATAAAAAAAAAGAGATGCTGGAGAGCTGCTCTTCAGCATCTCCTGCATCATCTCTTATAATCTTAGATGATAAAATTTAAAAAAAAAGATTTTATAATTTACTTTATAAAATTTTTAACTAAAAATGTACATTTTAAATTCATAATTACAGAGAATTATCAAAATAAATAGACACATTGAGTGAATTTTCTCTCGTCATTCCTAATCTTTAGATGATGATGCGGGAAATTTTCCTGGAAAAAAAACATTAAACCGTTAAAAAAAAATTCTTAAATATTTATTTAAATTACTAAAAGTTTTAAAATATTCTAAATAAACTGTGTACATAAATTTAAACTTGTTTAAAATTCATAAATAGAATCAAACTCCCAAATGAATTCCTCGAGTGTTCTGACAAGAAAAAAAAAAGCCTAAAAATCGTTAAAATGTGTAGAAATGTGTATAAAAATGAATAAAAATCTCGAAAATACTCAAATATTTAACAAATTTCCTTAAAACATTAGAAATTTCATCCAAAAAACCGACATAATTTGAACTACGGTTATGCATCTCTAATCAGAAATTATATGTTTAGTTAACATAAAAATAAGAAATATTATTAATAAAAAGCTTTAAAAATAGTTTAAACAACTTAAAAAATGATTATTTTAAATAAATTTTTCGTAATATTAACGATTTTTTTTCATATTTTTAATAAAAAATACCTTTGCTTATCTTGTTGATCGCTCTCCGGTATCTTCTTCATCTCTCTTATAAAAATTATTAAGAAAAACCTTAAAAATTACCTTAAATAGACTTTAAAAAATCGATATTTTTAATAAATTTAGCGTAATAGTAACCATTTTTGTATGTATTTTTAATAAATAATCTATAATACGCTTGCTGATCTTTTTGATCTCTCTCCAGCATCTTCCTCATTTCTCTTACTGAAAATATTAACAAAAAAACCCTAAAATTACCTTAAATAACCTTAAAAAATCGACAATTTTAATAAATTTAGCGTCGTATTAACGATCCTAAAGATTAATTTAATAAATAAGATTGTTGATCTCGTTGATCTCATCACGATGATCATCAGCATCAGTTATCTCTGTCGTAGAAGAGGAGAGAGATGCTGGATGTAGAATATTTGCAAAAGCTTAACCTTGTGCTTTATTCCTCTGGCCCCTGTACGAGTATAGCGGTCCAGAACGAACGTCAACCACGCAATACAGCTACCATCAGACCAGAGACTCTCAGCGAGTTAGAAGGAGAGAGACTACTCAGAGACGGGATGACGGCGACGGTTGCTGTTGGTGTCTTTCCACCTCCCTTCGCCACTCATCGGGTCTTTCCAAATTTGATAACTGCCGACAACAGCTCTNTAAATAACATGTTTTAAGCTTGTAATCTTTAAATAAATCCTACTTTAAGACTGTATAATGATGAACACGAAATCATCTGGTAATATCCTCGAGCTTAAATGTATAAAAATATAGCATTAAAATGAATAAATAGCAATTACTTTTAAAGTTTTTAAAGAAAATTTTAATATTCTTATTAAAAAAGTCGAAAATATAGAAGATAAAAAAAAAGAGATGCTGAGAGCTGCTCTTCAGCATCTCCTGCATCATCTCTTATAGTATACACTCGATAACACGCAGAATACTCCCCCTAAACTATTGAAGAACTATCATTCTTAGAGATGCATAGCCTTTCTGTCCAGCGCACGCATCACCATCACTCAGGATAACTCCATTCATCCGCATCCCTGACGGATTACTCCCTTATACAATTACACCTAAAAAAACCCTTATTTTTTCCCTAAACAGAATCGTCGCACGCCGCCACACCGAGCACCATAGAGGGAGAACGTTCCCCCATTTCTCCGGACCTAGAAGGGCCCCAGTCACCCCCTTACNTTGATCTCTCTCCAGCATCTTCCTCATTTCTCTTACTGAAAATATTAACAAAAAAACCCTAAAATTACCTTAAATAACCTTAAAAAATCGACAATTTTAATAAATTTAGCGTCGTATTAACGATCCTAAAGATTAATTTAATAAATAAGATTGTTGATCTCGTTGATCTCATCACGATGATCATCAGCATCAGTTATCTCTGTCGTAGAAGAGGAGAGAGATGCTGGATGTAGAATATTTGCAAAAGCTTAACCTTGTGCTTTATTCCTCTGGCCCCTGTACGAGTATAGCGGTCCAGAACGAACGTCAACCACGCAATACAGCTACCATCAGACCAGAGACTCTCAGCGAGTTAGAAGGAGAGAGACTACTCAGAGACGGGATGACGGCGACGGTTGCTGTTGGTGTCTTTCCACCTCCCTTCGCCACTCATCGGGTCTTTCCAAATTTGATAACTGCCGACAACAGCTCTACTAAACTGGAGAGAGAAGAAGACAAAGAAGGTAATTTCCTGCTTCTCCAGCGTTATTTTATTCCACTTTCTTAATACTTAAAATCGCTTGCGATCTTGCGATTTTTCCCTTCTACCTCTCTCTAACTTTAAACTCCATTTTTTTATCTTTTTGTCTATTTAATGGCGTTTTATTAATGTAAATTAAAAATTTGGAGTGTTTTCTACTAGAAAAACTTAATTTTTTTAGTTTTTTTACTTTTTTTGGCGATTTAAAAGCGATTATGTTAATGAAATTTAAGAGGATTCACGTACGATTATAGTCTTCGTTTATATATTTATATGATAAAAAAATTAGGTTTTTTTTCCTTTTTTGGAAAAATATTACGCGGGAGAGTCTATAAAAACGATATTTTAGGAAGATTTCGACTGAAGATATCGATTTATCGCATTTTTTTAGTTTAGAGAAATTAAAGAGAACAGGCGCTCTCCAGCATCACTTACGATGCTGCAAGTGATGCTGATCTTCATTTTCTGATCATCATAAGCATAAAAAATTAAATATTTATAGATTAAAATGAATAATTTTTTTTTAATTTAGTAGGGATAAATTAAAATTAACGCGCTACAATAGCGAAAAATCCCGAAGATCTAAGCCATACTTAGCATCATTTTTATACGAAAGTTGGTCTTGTTTAACGCGGATTTTCTGTAAAAATTTAGGGTTCTAGATAATAAAATTAATTTAAAATTATAGAAAATAAGGTTTTTTTTAAATTATTAAAATTAATTTATTTTATATATTTACGCCTTCGTCAAAAAAATTAAGGGAAGAAGGCGCTCTCTTGTTAGCAAATATGGAGTCAGATTTCACTTAAAAACTCATTATTAGAGAAATATTAAAGATTTTTATTAATAATTCTACAATTTAAGGCCTAAAAATCATAGAATTATATATTAAAATATGCGTGTGAGGCCTTAAGTCATCGATTATGCCCCCTACTTTAATAAACAACCCACTAAACTACAACAGAATTAGACTTGTGCTTCTAAGCTATAACATGAGATATTTCCCTTTTAATTAACAATAAATTTAAAGACAGAGGCCCTAAACTATAGCCTGGAAAGCTTGAGGCCTGAAGATGCATCCTGTATAGCGTGAAACCCTAAACTATAACTTCTATGTATAAGCTAAACATAAACCTTTAGGAGAAGCTGTAAGCTGTACAATATAGCGTGAGGCCCTAAACTATAACTTCTAAGCTAAGCGTAGGCCCTAGTGTGAGGCCATAAACCTGTACTTGCATACGCTAAAATCAAAGCTAGGAGATCTAACCTATAGCTGGAAACTGTAACGTGAGGCCCTAAGCAGTTGCATGTAAGTTATAGCTATAACGGGCCTCACACTACATTTTCCAGACTATAGCTTAGGGCCTCATCTACAGCTTTGCGTTTAACATACACAGATACATGTTAATTAAGGACCTCACACTACGGTATACAAGATAAGGCCTCACGCTATCTAGACTAAAGTTTAGGGCCTGGAGTCTTTAAATTTACTATTATTTGAAAGGGAAAGATGTATTTTACGGCTTAGAAACCGCGCAAACCGTAGCATGACGCCACAAACACTACTTGTGTATTGTGACGTCATAAACAACAAGCTCCTCTAGTTAAAGAACTATTGTATAATTTAAAATGTATGTTAAGTGTGACGTATATTTAAAGCTTCCGTTACAGATAATCTAGTAACAGAGATTCATCGTCAAGAATGTGACACATCACATCGTCACCCGGCACCCAGCGCATCCTTAACACCCTCCTACGCCGATATACCACTCTACGCATGCGCCCCGCCCGGACAGGAGACAATATACGAGACATCGGCAAGACTCTTATTTATGGCCGTTAAATGGGCTAAAAATCTTCCTTCCTTCGCTAATTTACCCTTTCGCGATCAAGTAAGGAGTCCTCTAATTGGTCCTTTTTGAATTTTGAATTTCGTTGTTTTTAACAAAATACAAAAAATTAAAGGTGATATTATTGGAAGAGGCGTGGGCCGAATTGTACCTCTTGTGCGCCATTCAATGGTGCATGCCGCTCGAGTCCAACCCACTGTTCACACCCACCGAACACATGAACGCCGGATTGCCCAATGGCAAAGCAGCAGCCACACTGGCAGATGTAAGAGTATTACAGGAGATTTTGGCTCGTTTCAAGGCTGTTGGCGTCGATCCTGCCGAATTCGCCTGTTTGAAGGCAATCGTATTGTTTAAAGTTGGTAAGTTTCATTTGTTTTTTCTTAAAAATATTTAAATTATCCATTAAAATGTCGGATTTTTCTCTCTTTTTTTTCCTTTTTTTTATAAGATGCACGCGGCCTGAAGGATGCTCATCAAGTCGAAGGATTACAAGATCAGGCACAGTTAATGTTACATCAACACGTGAAAACTCAACATCCCACTCATCCTGTCAGGTTTGTTTCGGTTTAATTTCCGTTTTTTTACCCCCAAATAGTAGTTTTTAAAGCGGGAATTGTGTTTTAAGTGTTCGAATCTAGTGTTTTTAATAGGATTCGCGTGTTTCCGCTTCGATTTTCTTCGGTTGTGACGTTGTATCGAAGAAAATCGGCCGTTTCTGAGTTATGATGTTTACAACGATTTAGAACGATACAGCGGGGGAAATTGACAGAATACGCGGTGTTGCGAGTGTCGTAGGGATGCCGATGATTTAGCTCGTTTTATGTAAGCTTAATTTGCATTATTTATGCGTTAATGTGATAGATTGAAGAAAATTTCCTCGATTTAACGGCACTATTTACAGAAAACGGCATTGATTCAGATGGCGCTTCCTCGATTTAACGACATTGTTTACAGGCAAACTGTTGCTATTTGGAGATCATTTCCCGTGTTTAACGACATTTAGATTTACTTTCAACAGATAAGATGTCAAAGTGATAAATCAATTAGAGTTTTAACGTTGATTTTCTTCTTCTTTATAACAAAATAAAGCAGAATACGCGTTATGTTGGGTCCCGTTTTATAAGGAACGATATCGATTTTTAAGCCTTAAGCATCGAACAGATCGAGTGAAAATCAAATCCAAATATCGTAATCTGTAAAGAAAATATTGATGTAGAGTATTAAAACGTTGAAAAAGTCGCGTTATATCGACGTAATCGATAAAAAAAAAGAAATAAAAACAGAAATTGCGCCGCTTTAAAGCGATCCACTGGCAAATCAATAAGAAATGTTGGTTAATAGCGCATTTCCTCGATTTAACGGCTTTATTTCCAAGCAAAATATTGATATTTAAAGTTAATTTTTTCGAGCAACTCGATTCACATAGAATACTATTGATTTAGAGCTGGCATTTTCTATTAACGGTATTATTTACAAACAAAATGTTGATATTCGTAGCTCATATCCTCGATTTAACGGTGCCTTTTTCATAAAATAATAATGTTGGTTTAGAGGTCATACCTTCGATTTAACGAGATTATTTAATTGATTAATAAAGTATATAAACTCGATTTAACATCATTTACAGAAAACACAGATTTAGACTAGTTTTCCCCGATTTAACGTAATTTTCGCTCGTCTTAATCCATTAGATTACTTATAATACGGCGAAAACTAATTTTTAACGAATTAATTTTATGATTTTCATGAAATTTTCGTTTCAGATTCGGTCGCCTGTTACTTATGTTACCATCACTTCGTTATATTCCTTCAGAAAGAATCGAAACCCTCTTCTTCCATCGAACAATAGGAAACACACCAATGGAGAAGCTCCTCTGCGACATGTTTAAGTGTTAAACCAAAAAAATAACCGTTTTAATTTGCATAAACGCACACATTAACACACATACACACACAAACACAAACACACACAAACAGAAATTCAAATATTCAAACTAACCAATCAGAGTAAATGTATTATATGACTTCGTTTGATTCGATTAAAAAAAATTATATAAATAAATAAATATATATATATATATAAATATATAAATATAAACATATATTTTTATACAAAAATGAATATATGAAAACATATAGCAATTTTAAAGTTTTAGCACTCATGATCGTTTCAACATACTTGCAAGTACAAATCTCCAAGAAACTGGACCAATACTTCTTATTGCAGCCTTTACAAAAGGATTATTTGGATCTTTTCTTGAATCGAGTTTAATCCCAAAAGCAGTCCTGGCAATAACATCTATTGTGAAAGTACTTGAAAATCTAAAAAGAAGTGAAATAAAAGAATATTTCAATCTTATCGGGTTTGTTGTTTTTATATAACCTAAGTTTTATTAGAAATAATACTTGAATAATAAACGTAATAAAATGAACATCTCGGAGTAAGTTTAACCTTTTGATTTGCTAGTTTTATATAATGTAAAATGTATATTTAGTATACAGCATGTACAGTACAAACTATCCATTATAAATACTTGGTAATACATCATGAGTACGATAAGTAAAACGTGTGAGAACCTGGAGACGTAATACGAGAATTTTTCTTTTCATGTGGAGATTTATTTGGAATTTACTTTAATTATTTAACCATTTAGAAATTATTTTATTTAGAAAAAAAGCCGTTCATTTTTTTTTTACTTTCGAATTTGGTAAAAGAGGGATAGAACCCCGTTCAGTTTTATCCTGATAACTGACTTCACCATGGGAAATGATGTTATCTCACATGTTTATGATGCATCTTGTGGTATGACTCACCCCTCAGATCCGTCACATGGTGTAACATATTGACTCCTGATTGGAAGAGATTCGGGGCAAAACATCTCGTTCTCGGTCTCTCCCGTCAAGAATCTTCTTGATTTTCTCCAAGTTTTCTCTGTCCTTCTCCCCTTCCTCCAAAGTTTTACCTTGTGTGTATTTTCCAAGATTGACAGTCCTCCAGAGGCTCCCGAATACGTTCATAAAACAGAGAATTAACGCATAGCCGTATTATGCACAACTTATTGTAAACTCTCTCTCTTTTAACGATCGGATAGAGGTGTAATAATTTAACTTATCGATATGTATATATTTGTTTTTCTTTGTATTTAATTTTCTATTTATTTTAATTATTAAAGCTTTTATTTTTGTTTCAATCGGGTTTCGAACTCGATTTATTTAACGCCGGTCACTCCATCGCCGACTCACGACTCTCGCCACTCGAAAGCAAGTTAAAAATAGATTTGAGCGCGAGTTAAGACGCGATCAAATCTATTTCTTAATTGGTCAGAGGCCTGACGTAGATCTCATGATCTCGACGGAGATCTCATGATCTCTTGGTCTTCTTAAATATAACATTTATCGCCAACCCTAGATAAGGTGAGTGGGCGCGCAGTCTCGATCTGACANTAAGGGATTTCTAATGCTGTTTCCTCTGTTTATAAAGTGAATGATGTATGTAAATTTTTTAAAATTTTTATTTAATTTATAATTTTTTAAAATTATATATAATATAAATAAAAAATAATTTTTTTTGTTCTGGTGTTAGTATATAAATCGGTATATATAAGAAAAAAATATATATATAAACATCGTTTTATGTATTCCCTGCTTGTATACTATCTTTAAGTCGTTGGTGTGTAATAATAGACAAAAAAAAAAAAAAAAAAAAATTCTGTTGTCGGAAAATTGTGTATATTTTGTGATCATGTTGTCTGGAATAAAAATTAAATTCATCTCGGTTTTTTCTTGTCTTTATTTTCTTGATTTTTCTGTGCGTTCGAATGATGTAATTTTACCAAAAATTCGAGCGAAATTAGGGTTTATACAGTCTAAAACTTGGCCTAAAAATCGCACGAATCGGAGCTTTGATAAACTTAAAATTTCAGTAAAACCTGTGTAAAAAGGTATCGCGCGGTACTTGTTTGACAGATTTCCGTCTTAGACAGTAACGCGTATGGGGCTCAGACGAATTTGAATTAGGGTGTCCCTTCAGATACTTGATTTAAGGAAATTTTTGGAGGGAAAATATTTTCTTATTATTATAATAAAATATTAATTAAAAGATTGGTTTGCAGACCCATAAGTGATGGATGCCCCAGGTATTTGCCCTTTTTGCCCGTAGGGTAACGCGCTGCTGTTTTTGAACAGTTTTTTTCTTAAATAAAAAAATCGCTTCGTTTTAGCCAGGTTTCAGTTTTATTCGGGTTCCGTTTCGGACAGATTTTACTGTATATGAACTTGATTTGAATCTTTGCAAAGTTTATAATTACACGAACTGGGCATGAAACTTATGAAGGGGGAATTTAAAAACTTTTAAATTATATGAATTTGGCCTAAAACTTATGAAGTAATCTTTGAAAAGCTTTAAATTATATAAATTGAGGATAAATCTTGCGAAGCGAAACGTTGAAAAAGCTTAGAATTGTATGAATTTAATCTAAATCTTGACATTGAAAAGGTTAAAATCATATGTACTTGGCTTAAACCATAAGAAATGAAGCTTTGAAAAACTTAAACCATACGAAGTAAGGCTTTAAAATCGTTAAAAATTATATCTAAAATTAAATAAAAAACTAGTTAAATTATATTTTTAAATGGTTAATACTTTAAGTGAAATCGTGGAATATAAATAAGTTCATCTTTATATATTATCACTATGAACATAAACAAGAAGCATATACAAAGTTTAAATGCTTATATAAAAGTCTAAAGAATCGTATATCTTTAATTTATATATATTTAAAATGGAAGAAAAACAATTTTGTATAGATATGCCAACACTTTAATACATTTAAAATGAAATAATCCAACATTAATGTCAGATTTAATTAATTATATTACTTTATAAAATTCCAGTTTAGTGCTTTTTAAGCAATAATAAAACTTGTAAATATATTTTAAAATAAAGTCTTAATTAACAAGAGTTCAATTTTATAAAATTTCTATCTGAAATAAATTTAATTAATTAATTTTTGTAATATAAATCTTTATTTAAGGTGCAGAATTAAAGAATTGTACAGGCTGTTACAGATTTTAGATATATTTCTAGTAACTTTTTAAAGTAAAAAATGTAATTAAATAATTTAAAAAATTTAATTTTTAAAGTAAAAAAAAGGTTTTATAAACAAAAAGTTCCGTTCAAAAATTCCCAAATTTTCAAAATGGCCGACAAGTAATCGATTTAAAAAAATTCAATTAAAAGTTAACGAATTGGTAAAAGTATATATAAATTTAGCATTAATAGATTTTTTTAAATAAATAAATAACCGATTAAATTAAATTTATTAATAATTCAAGACAAAAAAATAATTAAATTTTAACCAATCAGATTTCTCGTAGTGCATTTAAAGTTTTAACGACCGTTAAAATTGCGAGACCTTTTGTCAATAGTCGGGTATAAATGAAAGTTTTATGGATCTCGTGATCAGAGAAACGACGATATTGTTACTCAGTTCACGAGATCCTATAAAACTTTTATTCATACTGAATTATTGATTTATGACGTTAGTTAACGGGGCCGCAATTTTAACAGTTGTTAACTTTAATTATTCTATTATTATCCCGCTTCAATTTTAGTAAAATTTTCTATCGTAATTTTAAAAATATTTTTTAAATGTATTTTTCTTTAGTAAACAAGACACTTTTCTACGTCTTACAATAGTTACATTTATGTAGGTGCGACGTAATTTAACAGCAAATTTTGCCGTTAAAAAAAAAGCCTGGCGGATTTGTTAACAGTTATCATTTACAAATTATTTAAATTTAATTAGAATGAAATTAAGAATAAAGAGAATGAGAAGGGAAGAGTAAATGAATAATGGATGCTTTCGACGGCACCATCTTTTGATATTTGACAGTAAAGTGGCGCTATCTCTCGTCGAATTTCGAAATTAACAATACCAATTGTTTATGAAAGTTGATGACGTCATTTATGAGATTATTATTTTTTAAATTTAATTTCGTAACTGTAGCATTTTAAATAGCAATTATAATTATAATAATAATAATTTTTTTATCTAAAATTTAAATAATTCTATACATATTTTGTATATTAAAGTGAATTCTATAAAATATAATTCTGAAAATTGTTTTTATTGGTCCATAAAGCAATTTTTTAAACATATAAATAAAAACTAAAATTATATGTAATAAATTTTGTGTATATTCATAATAAACTTAATCAAATACCATGTATTGATGTAGAAATTGCTAAAATTAAAGCCGAACAAGTTAAGCGGTGCGCGACTTTTTAGCATGTCCCTCCTCATTCTGTACATTTAATCGTATTAGTCAATTCTCGTTCTATTTTGTAAGATTGTCGTTTGCGTCAGTGATTCCCCATAACGGGGGGGATAAAATCCCAGAAATAATAAATTCATTCCTTCTACACTAGGGGATTTAAGGGATTTCTAATCCGGATTGGGACATTCACGTTCATCACCACTCTTACGTATACAAATCGTACGTAATTGTTGATTATTTTAGTGGGAATATCATTGTTAAGATATATCTAAATCCAATTAAACTACATATTTTTTTGCTTGAAAGATGGAGAACCTCTCAAAAACATGCATTTATTTATCTAGCATTATTTCAATGAAAAAAAGAAATGTTAATAAATTATTGTTTTTATTTATATTTAAAAAAATACGCTTTATGAGCGAATAAAAACAATTCTCATAATTAATATTAACAATCATTAAATAAATTAATTAAACAATAAATTGACTTTTTCTTAAAGGAAATTAATGTATAAAGTATTTATTTCTTGTTAGAAAAAGTCAATTTATTAAGATAAAATTTATTCATTCATTGTTATATTTCTTTTATTAATTTATTTATATATATATATATATAATGTTTTTCTTATAGGAATTTTGATCTAAACTGGATATTTTATGATTCAACTGCTCATTTTCTAAAGATTTTAAATTAATATAAAGATACATAAATTTCTATATTTCTTAGCATCTAATTACACTAATTGAGAATATAAATAATATAATCTGAATATAAATACAGTATTTAGAATATAAATAATTAATTTCCAAAATTTAGAAGAGTGGGAGTTATAAGAACAATTAATTTCCTAAATAAGAGGATATATTCATATTTTTACTACTACAAATGATCAAGAAAGATTATAATTTGGAATTAAATTTTTGGTATGAAAAAGATATGCATTTTTATTCACATTATGTAATAAAATTTCATTATTTTTACAATGAATAAGTTGTTTGAATAGATTTTTTTTCACAGAAAATCTGGAATAAGTCTAATGATTACAGATGTACAAAAATCAATAGATTATGTACCTAAATAGATAATAACTAATAATTAATTTTGTTCAGATTTATAAATAATGGAACAAGGACTAACTGATGAAGATTCTGAAATTAAAAACATATAATTATTTGAACTATTAAACTGAAAATAAGATTGTTATCCAGTAATTAGTGTTTTATATTACTAATATTTATATTTGTAAGATATTAAATTAAAATTACTTCATATGTCTTTTATTTAAATTAAGGAGTTCCAAATATTTTTTTTGTTTGTTGACTCCTTTCCAAAATGAAATTTAATTTGCTGATACCTTTATAGTGATGAAAAGTAAGAATAAATTAAAACAGAACAAATGAAAAATTAAATGTGTGTGTTTTCTTTGATAAAATTTAAAGATTAAGTAATTATTGTTGTTTTTATTATATTAATACATTAAAAATACATTTTTACTAATATTAATCCCTAATCCTAGTAATTTATTGACTTCCAATCTGGTGACTCCTTGGAAGCTGCTGGCAACTGGATTGGTTTGGAAGCCCAATTTAAATTATTAATAGCAATTTGGTTATATTTATTTCTGCTATTTTTAAATACAGAAATGGGGCTAATGTGATTAAGGCATTAAATCACTGCTTTGGGAGACCTGAGATCAAAACCAGTTAAAAAATGCCCAGAAATTTTTTATGGGTTCTGTCCTGGATATTCAAGAGCATTATGCCTTTCCACCCAGCTACTCCATTGTGGGCCTGAAAACAAATCCTCTTACTACTGAGTAAGAGATAATGACAGGGCAAAGAAAGTTAAAAAAGTGAAAATAATAATTATGAATGTATATATAATTTAATATAACTGACCTGAAGCAGGGCAGTCAATCTGCTTGAAAATGTTCATTGATTTTAAGATAATACTGGAATAAAACTAAGGTTACGGAAGTGATTAATTTAATGTTCCATATAATATCTATTCCAATCAATAAAATATTTCATTTATATGTATATATAAATGGAAATATTTTTATAATAACATCAATAATAGTTATTTTTTTATGTTGATTTAAATTCAAACATTCAAAACTGAATTGTTATCATAAAATAATTTATTAACCTTATACCAAATAATAAAATTTATTTACAATAAAAACACATAAAATATGTTATTTACAATGAATGTTTATCAATATTCTATAAACATTCATTGTAAATAACATATTTTATGTGTTATTTACAATGAATGTTTATAAAAAATCGATAAACATTCATTGTAAATAACACATAAAATATGTTATTTACAATGAATGTTTATCAATATTCTATAAACAAAGTTTCAAAAATTAAATGAAGTCACATTTATATAAAAATACAGGAATAACTCAATTAATTTCCTTTGAAATCATATGTATGTAACATGAATTCTAACTATAATATAANAAAACTGAATTGTTATCATAAAATAATTTATTAACCTTATACCAAATAATAAAATTTATTTACAATAAAAACACATAAAATATGTTATTTACAATGAATGTTTATCAATATTCTATAAACAAAGTTTCAAAAATTAAATGAAGTCACATTTATATAAAAATACAGGAATAACTCAATTAATTTCCTTTGAAATCATATGTATGTAACATGAATTCTAACTATAATATAAAGTCTACAATAAGAAGACTACTTTATATTCTTCTTATTACTCTTCCCTGATAAATTAGTAAAAGTAATTTTTAAAAATTTTAAATTTCATTTATTGTTTTCTCAGTTCTAGTTCCATCTTTACACTATATAAGATTCATTATAAGCAGAGCCTGTAAGAGAAAGAGGCAGCGAGTAGAAATTATGTGGGCCCAAAGAACCCATAAAAAATAATAAATACCTGTATCTGCAGATTTTCAGAATTTTACTTAACTTTTAGATAACATAAACCTGATTTCTATTATCTAAATATAAAAAGTTATTTTATAATAAGAGCCAAACAGAATGCTGAACCAGGATCCAGTCTCTCTCTTGGTGATCCTGTTTACAAAAGAATCTGCATATGATAATTAGAACTGTTTAAATAGCAGAAAACTTTTAAATTCAAATTAAATTTCTCTTTTTAATTTAAAGTCATTCAGATTAGATGAAAATCTGAATTTAGAACCTTGATTTTCAAATGTTTACAGGTACTATAATTTCAAAACATATTTTTATAGTTAATTTAATATATTCTGAAGATGGAGTTAAAGGAGTGAAGTCATTAAATAATTAAAAGCCAATTTCTAAAACAATAAACTAAATTTATTAGAAAAAGCTGCCGTCTTTTATTGAAAATCAAATTATTTTAAAATGTTATAACTGTTTGTTGTTAGTTGATATTAAAAGAAAAGATTTTTCATGTCTGAAAACATTATGAGTAAATGATGTAATGATTATATACAGGATATTTCTGAAATATGTGCATTAGAATAATATAAAAATTATATTCAAATATCATAAACTTAACATAAAGTTGTAATGATAATGACGAGTAATTAAATTACAGCAAAAGACTTTTTTCTTTAATCATAAAATTCATAAAAATATTTAAGTTATTACAAGCATTTAAAATATATTTTTAAATGGATATAAATATATTTGAGCTTTATTCTTATACTTTCCAATGTAAATGTTTTCAGAACATCCTGTGTATTACTTCCAATTATTTTGAATATAAATACTTTAAAAACATTCCATTTCACATGATAAAGTTTTGTATGAAAATATGTTTACTATAGCAATGATTGAAAACGCAGCAGTTCAAACATTTCATACAGTGATGATTTAATACTGTGATTTTCATCTAATGTATTTGTTTCTTCTTTGACATCATCTTCCATTAAATCTATTTCTTCCTGGAAGTTAAACCAATTACAAATTAATAAAAAAATAATACTATTTATATAAGTAATTTTAAAGATATATAGTAACCTCTGAGTCCATTTTACAATCAACTTCATTCTTTGAAGTGACTAATGGCATGTTGCATATGAGATCAAATGTGAATTTTGAAGCGTGACTCTTTGATCCTTGAACTTTTATACACACCTAAAATACCAACAACAATTTTTTAATTTGTCTAAAAAAATATTAAAAATAGATTATTTTGAATTTTGCATACTGTAATGTGTTCAAAGAGTTTATATGACCAATAATAATCATCTGAAAGAACTTCAAATTTAGTTTCTGTCGAGTCAGTCAGCCCAGGAAGCCATTCAAGTCCATTACTGGTTATCACAGCAACAGTGTCATCTTTTCTTAACTGACAAAGCCCTTTAATTCCATATTTTGGTATGAATATTAAAATGCCATTACTTCGAATTGAATATACCACGGCATCGACAATGCATTCGGGATCATCTGGTTTTTTGTCTTTAAAATATAACATTTGAAATAGCTTTACAGATTCTCTTCCAATAAATTGAGCTGCCTAAAATTATTTAACAATATAAACATTATAATCATATATAAAACAAGTCAGTTTATCTGCAAGAATCTTTACAAAAATGTACTTACTCTATGTTTTTCATTTATGTATTCACAGAGTGAATTTAAATATGTGTTAGTAGGTATGTCATCTGATGATTTATCAATTAAACTTAGTAATAACCTATGAACCTTAAATTAAATTAAAATTTTTATTTAAAAGATATATGTAAAAGATAAACATAATGTAAAGAAAATAATAGAAAATGTACAATGACATCAGCATATCTACGAATTGGTGATGTAAAGTGAGTGTATCTATCCAAACCAAGCCCATAATGAAAATAATCTTCTGTAGACCCTGTGGAAATGTACTGTGCTTTGCACATAGCTCGAGTTGCCAACATATTCATTATCTAAATTAAAAAAAAAAAATAATTTTAAACTTAAAATCTTATATTAAAAAAAATATATAGAAAGTGTCTTACTAAGTTGAAAGATTTATCCTTTTCATCAACTGCTTGTTTTAAGGAATCAGCAAAAGTTTTATTTGTAGTTGCATCAATTGTAAATCCTTTATAAGAGGCACAGAGTTCTAATTGTTTTAATTTATGCTTTAGAGGAGGAGGATGGTGCCGCAACTAATTAAACACAAATAAATTATTATAATAGAAAAAGAAAATATACTTGAAAATATGAAATTATATTTTAAAATATTAAACATACCAGAGTTTGCAAGGGATATGTATCCATAAGTTTGTTTGCAACCCAATGATTAGCAAAAATCATACATTCTGCAATTACTTCATGGATTTGTAGATGCTAAAATAGTCATTAATCATAAATATACTTCAAAATTCAATAAAATAAAAGTATATTAATTCATTTTTATTAAATGAATGGTTAACATTTACAAAATGTTCATCATTTCATCATCAGATTTTTGTAGTTTAATGACCAATCAAATTGCAGTGTTTTAAACCAATTATTTCATTTGAGCATACAGAACCTATATTACATAGATACAAATCCATCTAAATTACATTTCATTTTTTAAATAGTCTCAAAACTTACCCCGACTTTTGGGCATTCATTAAATTGCAAAGATCTTATAATGTCATATTAAATATGTAAATCTGCAACACCATTTTGAACAAAATATATGTAGACATTAAATGTCACATTTCCTGGAGATTAGATTTATGATCATATAAATTCTACTTGATAGTACAGAATGCTTACTGAGATATGTCCATAAATGTTCTAATCAATATTTATATTACAATTTCTAATTCAATTTTTAATATTTCTTCTTTTATAAGGTTTAAATTATCATTTTTGCTTGTCCTTCTAACTTCTGTATTCAAAATGATTTTAGCATGGCTAAATTTGTTATCTAAAATAACTATAACTGCTTTAAATTCTTAATCAGAACACAATAATATGATTAAAAAGAGGAATTTTAGGTTGTATGAATTTATGGAATATGTACCTCAATATTCCATAAATTTATACGCTATACTCAGCTTTTTCTATTTATGTCAGTTTATGTTCAGTCAGCTTATGTGATAGTACAGAAATCACATTGTTGTTTATACAAAATGTCATAATGTTAAATCACAAAGTTTTCAGGACAATGTTTATGTTAGATGTTGGTTACAGCATGCATTCAAAATGGCCATCTCCTTCCTGGATACATGTTTGTACTCTTTTTATAAAAATAGCAGCCACTTTATGCAGAGTTGACACTGACACATTCTGAATTGTAGCAATGCTAACTTTAAGTTCATCAAGTGTGCAGTGGTTACTGCTGTATACCACACTTTTAAGATAACCCCATGGGCAAAGATCCGGTGGCATAAAATCTGGTAATCTTGGGGCTGAAAATTGGTTAGACTAAATTTATCAGGTAATCTTGGGGCTGAAAATTGGTTAGACTAAATTTATCACCAAAGAACTCTCAAATAAATGTCATGGTACCACCTGATATATGACACATGGTTCCATTCTGTTGCAGCCAACAAAAACATGTACTACTCAACAGTGAATACACACTGAATCTGAAGAAAAAAACAAATTGCTTGCAATATTAACAATTATCTACTACAACCCACTCAGACTCTGCTTCTTGAAGTCAACACACAATAAGTCACAAACCACAAGTGCTGCAACCTGTTGAGAAAAATACCTGATGGCTACATTGCATATGATAATATAGACATTTGAAAACCACTTGCATAACTTTTCAATCACACTGTGTATGATTATAAATTGCAACACAGATGCAGAAAGCATCATAAAGTAACACAAATGCTGAGGTTGTGTTTCTGAAGATAATTACAGGCAAAGCTACAGTATTGAAATATAAATGAAAACAAATGAAATAAATAATGTCACAAAATAATGTATCACTATCAAATACATGTGATGATAGTACTATGTCAGTCATATGAAGCTTATTTACTGCATGTAGTTGTGATTTGATTTAATAGTTCTATTATATTCTAACATAATGCTTTTGTCATTTTTGCAAAAATGCATTATTATTTAATATTTATACTTAAAATCATTGAAAAGTGAAATGTCTTGTATGAGTAGCACCATTGCTTTCTTATAGCTGCAAGCTATTTTTGGCCACTGTTAATGTGTATTATTGTATTTTCATTCATTTTTCATATTATTGCAAATCAATGTTTAGCAAAACAGCTTCTAAATATTGGATATGAAATAAGAAAAATTTCATTTATTTCTGTTAAAAATAAATTAATATTAATGAAAAAATCTCACTTACTGTTTTTGTGGTTAATTTTTCTATAGAATTTGAATCAGTATTTTGAAATTCAAATTGAACTTCTAAATTATCTAACTCCAGAGCACCATTTAATAACCTTTTTTTCTTTAATATTTTTGTAATATGAGTTAATATCAACAGAATAGACCTTATTTCTTCATATCTGTAAATATCAAATGAAAATAATATTAAAAATAATTCAAATTGCAGAAATCTTAACAGTATTTAATATGCTACATTCAAAGATTTTTTAAAACTTCATGGTAAAATATAAAATTTTAAATCTGCAATAAAAATTCTGTTTTACTGTATATTCAATGCTTTTTAATTAAATGCATATTAGAATTTAATAGTCATACAAAACCAAAACACTAAAAGGAACTCTACCAGGAACAACCATTACAAGATAGAGCAATACTTTTGTGCAAGATAACTCATCAACATTTTAATGATCCACACCAATGACACATACCATTAATAAGAATCAAGAATTGAGTTGCTAATGGTGGAAGAAACCTCTTCCCAAATATGGGATATTCCAGAATGTGACCATTGGGCAAATTCACTGTAAAAGGAAAAAATAGAGAGAGTGACAGTACAGCATGCAAGTAGGACAAGAAGAACAGGGTAGGCCCAAGATGTACAGGACTTCAACCAACTATCTACTGTTCATCACCTGCCAGCTGCTGAAATGGGTCTTTAGTTGTCATACAGATACTTTCTATCTAATTATCACTTTGCTGATGGACAGAAAGACTCATAACATTTGCTAAACCAGATATTATGTAGATGCTCTCTCATGTGATTGAGAAATTAATGTACAGTGGTACCTTAGGTTACGAACGCCCCAGCATACGAAATTTTCAGGATACGACATGAAACATTTTCGAACATATTTATTTATTAACATTATATTTATTTATTAACATTATTATTCGAACATATTTTTGCTCCACGATACGAACAAAAACTCACCATATGACGTTACATTAGTTCGCATTTTTCATTTGTTTTTCTTACTACAGTTATTTTTTTTAATGTATTACTTGGCTTTAATTTGAGTATGATTTTCGCGTTGGAACGAATTATTTGGTTTTACATGTAATCGTATGGGAAAAGATGATCCACCTTACGACATTTTCATGATACGATCTCAGTTTCGGAACAAATTAATTTCGTATCCTGAGGTACCACTGTATTTCCTAACTATACTAAATATGTTTAGAGATTTAATTGTGTGGCACTCTCCATTGGGACTCATTCAACATTGACCTTTCAGAAAGACATGTCAGTTTATGTTGGGATTTACATAGGCCAACTGCTTGGGTTTGACTGTGTTCATTAACATCAATAGGGAAATCTCATAATATAAATATATGAAGCAACTAATGCTAATACCAAGTTCACACAATTTGTATTTATACTGTTTATCAGTACTGTATATTAAAAATATTTGAATTATATCAATTCCAATTTTCCACATTAGTAAAAATCATAACAGCCTTTTTCTGCATTTAAAAAATAGCAATATATATGCAATTTATTATTAATAAATATAAAAGGAAATATAGATATAAATATCAGATCAACCATCTTTATTTTTACCATCTAAATGTACATTTATTAAAATTTCACAAAGTTTTATTTTATATTTCAATTTTATATTTTGTTTTTAATATACAGTATATTGAATTTTCTCATTACTAAATAAAAAACTAATATACTACTAAAATATACATACAGGGTGTCCAAAAAATTTGCCATGCAGTGAGAAATTTGTAATGACACTAAAGTTATACATACAGTATTGCATATGAGACCTTAAACCTCATTCCCCAGATTTTTCTCTCTGGGGTGAAGAGATGGGGTGTATGTAAGAAAAATCCACACACTGGATGAGCTGAAGTTGGCTATTACCCAACACATTGAACATATCACTCTTGCCACTGTCCAGAACATGTTTGACAATATTCAGCATCATGTGGAAATATGTGTTCAGGTCTCTGGAGACAATTTCAGTATTTGCTGTAGGAGAAACTGTAATATTGTATATAAAATTTCAGTTTTATTAAAAACTATACTTGAACCTTTTCCACCACACAGTAATTTTTCAGACACCCAGTATTATGCATTATACAGAATTTAAGACAATTTAAATCGAAGTGTGAAAAGTAGAGCCAATACTCATATTCATGATTAAAAGATTTCATTTTGTGAACATTTTTAGTACAAATTTTCACTTTTTTTTCTTTCAGAACACAAGCTGGTAAAAAGTTAATTAAAATTCTTTCAATTAATTTAACTACTTGTTTATTTCTTTGTTTTCTTTTTAATAGTAAATGAATTAAATTTGGTCACAGAAGGTCTAACAGAAAAAGAGTTTTGGTCTTAAGAAATACTAATTATTAAATGAAGGGGAAATAAATTATTAGTAATTAAAAATGAATAAAAAAAAAAAAGCTCATTTTCAGAGCAGTATTGTATATAAACAAATGAAGGGAGTAATGATATTACAAAATATATATGAGATAGTAAATGATTGACACTACAGAAGCTACTGAACAACATGAGCAAATAATCTATCAAGTGTGCATGTGTGTATACAGTAATACCCCGACTTACGCGAACCCAGAGTTATGCAGTTTTCAAATCTCGTCGATTCGTCTTTTGTTTGAGCGCCACGCAACCCTTGATTACTCACTCCCCCCACACTATTGTTCAGCTTACATGTTCAGATGTGTCGCAGAGAATCTACACATAGCTACAATTTATTTTGTGTTATTTATTTCTGTGTTTGTTATATCTACGGAGACTTGAGAGACTCTACTATGTCATCCAAACGAAGTAGAACTAATTCTTCTGCATCAAACAAGAAAAGAAAAACTTTATCTTTGGAATGTAAAGTTAACATTGGATATGTTTATAAAGTCGAATGAGTTAAGCGAGAATGAAGTCATTGTTATTCCTATTTCGTTAGACTTTTCGAACGATTCGTTACTAACGCATTTAACTCATTTGACTTTACGAATGTACCCATTATTAAAGACTTCGATACAAAAATGAAAATTTGTGAATTGGCAAAAAAGTTTGATCTACCGGAATTGTCGGTCAGAATAATTATAAAAGGCAGAGAAAAAATTCTCGAAGCTGTGAAAAATGCTCAATCTTTAAATTCAAGCATCATTCATAAATGTCACAGTATTATCGCTGAGATGGAAACAATGTTAAAATTATGGCGTAATAATCAAGTAAATGTGAAAAATTGTAAAATAATATAGGCCTAATTTGTTATACATATGTATTATCTAAGATTTTATTAAACATTTTTTTCTAAAATTATTTTCTTTAGTCTCTGGCCCCAATTTAAAATTATTTGTATGTATTTATATGTGAAATTATACCCCGTGATAGGTGGGACTGAGTGATTACTGCTCAGTCCCACCTATCATGTAAGTTTGGGGTATTACTGTAATGTTAATAAACTTTCTTAACAATTATAATAACTGCAAAAAAATCTAAATTTGTAGTTTTGTGAGGAAAATCTTAATATGAGTCATTTATATTAAAATATATTTTACAATGATTTTATTGTTATAAAGCTTCTACTTGAATAATAATTATTTATTCAACATACTTTTCTTGAAGTTCATTACAATTTAAACATTTCCATTCAGCTATATTCTCCTTTAAGATTTGTGGAGACACTCCATTTATTATTTCTTGAGCATCCTATAAGTATATGATATTTAGAACCCTATTAATTTATAGAATTGTTTTAAATTATCACAAATTTTATTATTATCAATTATCAAAAAACAATCACAAATTTATTACTTCATAACAAAACTGATATGATGACTTAATAATTGTTCTTCCAAACCAGGAATCTGTAATATTACAATTATTATCCAATATGCAAATGACACTAACAGCATATCTACAAAATAAAACAAAAAATAAATTAAGTAAATATTATTACTATCATCATTAAGAATTACTGTAATGCATACCTATCTTTCCCTCTTAGTAAAGAACATAAATATCCACTCAAAATTTCAGGAATCATATCAAACCGGCGATCTACCAAATAAACGCTGGTGGCTCTCTTCTTGGCTTCTGAATCAAGTAAAGTTGATGGTTTAATAAAATGAGTAACATCAGCAATATGGATTCCAAGTTCAATTTTATCATTTTCTAAAATCCTAAGAATTAAAGAATTTTAATATTATTGATTAAAAAAAACATAACAATATCTTTTTTTGCAATATATAAAATCAACAACCTACTTCAAAGATATGGCATCATCAACATCAGTACAACCCTTTGGATCAATACTAAATATTAAATGTGAATTTCTTAAGTCTAATCGCTTTTGAATTTCAGTATCTTCTACATGCCAAGGATTTTCTGAACTATCTTTAGGTAAATCAGATAACTATAGTTAAAAAAAAAAACAAATTTCATTTTACAATAAAGAATGAATATAAAGTAAATTTTTATTTAATTCTACACAAATATTTAATATTTTGAATAACAATACAATTTTACAAATTTATGCTCCTAGAAGTTTGCCAAAAATTTCATGAAATTTATTTGAAAATAAATAAATAAATAATAATAATAATAATAATAATAATAATAATAANAAATACATACATCACACTACAGAAGGCCACTATATTGAATACATGCCACATTGTTAGGAAATTCCTGAATACTGACACTGACACTGACACTGACACAGACACACTTATTTAATTTTAGTTTTGTTTTGGTTGCTATGCCTTGACTCTGGTCCGGCATAGTACACAGCCACCGGTTTAACCGAGTATAACCCACTGAACCCAACACAATAATAATAATAAACTTCTTAAAATAATTTCCAATTGCATATTTTCATATCTGTTATATAATACATACACAGATATATAAATACATTTAGATCCCATTAATATGTCATCAGTTTATATGAAGTATGCATTAATGTGAAGTGAATTTGCAGTCCCATAAACAAGACTAAGCATTTCAATATTAAATAGTTTTGTTAATACAAAAGATTGGTTAATTATTGGGTATTAATAAAGGTATGATTGGTTTGGTATATGCCCAATGACAGTTAAGTATACATCATCAAACCAACTCACAAAATTACTTCCTCCTATAGTCATCACTTTGTACATATTGTTTTCTTTTTCTGCTCTCTGGGTATTGAATCTTTTTCCAGACCCATTATGGATTTGTCCAGGCCAGTAATGGGGATGACCAAGTGGTGAGGGGCCTGGCATATCCAGGACAGACCACCCAAACAATTATTTAATTTTTTGACTTGCCTGGCTTCAATCCTGGGTCCCCCAGAATGTTAAGTTGTGTGAGACCTGAAAGGCCCCTGGGTCTAGTTTACTAATTTTATTGATAACATTAAATAATGTCACAAAATATTCATTCGTTTTTGTGAAAAAAATCACGTTTTTAGAGTGGGAAAAATAGATGACAGATGTTACTTCCTTTCACAGAAGTTAGTACATCCTCTGTTTTTCCCTTATCTGTGAAAACTCTCGCTTTGATGGGAAATGCTTATCCCTCACATATCCCCCTTTCCATCCGTTCTCACGGAGAAATCTTTGCATGATGATTGGTCACCGATCATGACATATAGAGGGAATTTGACAGAATTCGGGGAGTTCATCGACAGATCTGGAAGTATCCGAACTCCATACATTTTCCTTCTGATGACCAACGTCCTTAGACGAGTCACATACAGAATAATTCCAGAGTTAGCACTTAGAAAGCATACTTGGATTTTGTGCACGTATTGATCTCCCATGGAAAGAGGTAAATGAACTTTATCTCCAGAGTGTCCCTTGCATACAGAGAAAAAGACGAACGACAACTAAAACAGGTTGTATGTTTTATAACGATTTTGTGAGCTCTCTCTCGATCGCGCATCGATATAGTATAAGTCCATGCCTATACCGTGTATATTAATTGTCGTATTTATATCTCTTGTTCATTGATATTTGTATTAGTTTTACTTATAGAATCATTAAATTTACTTTTGTTTGTTTTATATAAGATATGGCTCATAATTTGAATCGTAATAAGATCTCTTACGCGTGTTAATCCGCGTATAATAAGATTGATTAACTGGTGTCGGGACCCTGACATTTGGGATAAAGACCTCACAGTCTTGAATCCCTTTTACCTAAATATTACAGCCCTCCCGGTCAAACGAATCTTGACATAAGATCGGATCTCTCGATCCGAAACTCGGAGAACTATTATCACGGAATAGTGCCGATTAAGTGTTACACAAGTACTACCTACTCCGTAACCCCGGCTGATCTCACAGTTGATGCCTTAATTGTCTTGGCTATCTCACTGGCAAGGATTTGGAGATTTATAGGATTGGGAGATTTCAATTGAAAATCTGTAGTTTTATAAATAGTTCTTATTAAAATTGTTTTAATAATGGTAAAAACAAAGCAACTGAATTATTATGTTAAATATTGTAATTAGCTCATACTTTTAAAGTTAAAAACAAACCATTTCCATCAAATTCCAAGCAAATAAGTTATTTTCAAATTTGTAAAACTTTACACATGTCCAGCTCTTGGATTCAATTTGGCAGCTTAGTTAGCCTGTTATATCCAGTAGCTTTAATTATTGTTCTACTTTAACTTTAGTTTATGGTGAAAAATGAGCATTGATTTTTTTTCTTTAAGCTATTGTATATCAATAAAGTTCGCGTTTGATGTAACACACAAGTTTATTTATATATTCATTTTTTTAAGCACATCCAAACAATATTAAATATAGTGTAACTGGGAGAAAATTTGGTTTTTGCTGTTTGATGGTTTGACTGTTGATTTTTTTAAAAATTATGCCAAAACTGCATGAGATTACAATAAAAACATTCAAAAAACCTCTAATTAACTGGATTACAGGGTTTTTTTTAAAATGTTTTTACTGTTAATTTTTGTAAAGTTTGCTTAATACAAAGTACCAATTTTGAATTAAATCTTCAATTTGTATTAATAGGGTTTGATTGCCCATAATTTCAATAAAAGATGCAGAGTATACTGTAGTGGCAAAATTGTCATTAAAATTGTATTAGATAAAGACAGTTTTTTTATTATAGATAACTTACCACTGATTTTGGAAACTGCTGTACACTTATTGAATTTTCAACTAAAAGAGTAGCTATCTCAGTTTCTAATAGTCCAATATCACCTAAAGATGAAACAAAATGTCCATTTGGATATTGTGAACCTGGTTCCCAATTATCTATTCTAACGATAATCCTGAAAAAAATGTGTAAAACATATGATTCAACAGAATATAACATTACATACTCAACTTATATATTTACTTAATCAAGTTATCTATAATTTTAATAAACTTACCTTTCAGTCTGAAGTTTACTTGCTAGTTTAGTGACAATTCTTATTTTTGGGATGCGACGATCATATGGAATAACCAAAATTCTATCATTGCAATTTGTTCCTTTGTTATATTCCTGGATTTAAAAAATATATATGTAATATTTTTATATTTTATATTTAAAATTATAGTATAGAACAATAATCAACCTGAAAATACTTTTCATTGCCTAGAAATTCTATTTTAATTCTAATATTTAAAATAATATATAAAAACATATTTATTGAAATAGATAAATAAAAACTCACACCAAAATTGTATGGCTTCTTGATAACAAGCACTGAGTTCAGCATTAACACAATTTTCTTATCTCACAAGTACTTTCAACGAGTATAATATAGTCGTCCAAAGGCGAAAAAGAACAAATTTGAAGAAATAGAACATGCAGAGTGTTCCAAGTAGAAAACAGAAAATTTTTGTGGAAATTTTTAAATTATAGCATTCGGTAGTTCTGTTGGTAATGTGCAACAAGCTTTTGCGGGCGTTTGAAAGTTATTAAATCCACGCGACTGGCAGCGCATGCGTTGAGGAGCGATCGTGCTAATTGTGTGACTCTTGGCGCGTTTAGATGTTTAAATGTTGGTATAAAGTAACCCATATTTCAAGCAAGTGAAGGGCAACATCCCCACCCTCAACTTGGGTGGGGATGTTGCCCTTCACTTGCTCGAAATAAAGGAATTCAAACACATTCTTAAAACTGATCACCAGTGGGATGTTGAGGGATAATCTACATTTGTCAGTGCTAATTTTAAGTGGATATAAAAGAGCCAAACCCCAAATGGATAAGGATGAGAACATTAAAGAAGTCATAAGATTTATCATTTCCAATTTTTAAGAATTTTTTAAATTTTAATTGGATTTCTGTGTTTTTAAGGAACTTTTTAACTGGGCAGCTAAGTAGCCTAAAAAGGAAGGTCTGGTTGTCTATAGTTTGTTCTGGAACATTGAAGAAAATAAAATGGTGATCGTCTGAAAATTTTTAGAACGACTATGTCTTTTATTGTATTAAAATATTCAACATTTGGCAATTGATGAATATTTTCTAATTTTGTCATAGTTTAAATAATTTAAGGGACCATAACAATTATCCCTACAGACCCTACAATGTTTGGGGCTCACAATTAGAAGTTTTTAAGTTCTCTCTAAATCATATTAAGATTTAACACAGAAACTTCTCTAAAGAATATTTTATTTTGTATTTCATTACTGTAGCAAGCCTTAATCTACAGCTATTTTACAACTAGATAAGGTATTTTTTTCTGTAGCTAACCATATATGACCATGATGTAGCTGGTTATCTGGTTATAATTTACATCATTTCCAGTTTATATTGTTTCTGAACAAACACTTTGTTTATCCATTAGCAAACAGCATTATCTAAAACCAATTAGTTTCTTTGATTGAGATGCTAAACAACTGAATGAGTTGTTTCTGTTAAAATTGACAAAACATGAAGATAAGAGAACACAAAAATGTTATAACAAAAATAATTCTAAAAAAATATAAAAATTTCACAAATATATATATATATATAAAAAAAAAAAACTTTGTTTTTGTTTTTCTTTTCCATCATTTCAAAACACCAGTAACAGTTCGAAACAATTTTCACATACAAAGAAAACCTTTAACCTACAAAATCATTCTGGTCAAATGAAAACTAGTTGACATATGGAACCATGTCTATAGAATAATTATTTTAAACAATTTTCTTTCATCTTTCTAATAACTGTCAGGAGATCCATTTTCTTCAACTAAGTAAAGAAAAGTGTTTGCTGGCAGTGATTTTAACAGAAATGTATTCAAAACATTTCCTAATGGTTTTTAGGAATCTAAGTTCCATTAAGTTAGTTAACATAAACTTGACTACATAGATTTATAGAAAATTTAATTTATTTAAATTTAAAATAATTTTTAGTTATTATTAATATCAGTATCGAGATTTGCTCATGAATCTGCAACAAATGACCCTTAAAAAATTTATGGAGCTATACAATTTTCCATTATGGCAATATGGATTAGATAAATACAACACATAAATTACAGAAAATGTATCAGTATACAGTATACAGTATACAGTACAGTAATTTATTATGATAGAAGTTTTACTGAGCCTTAGTAGGTTGTACAGCTGAAATTATAACAGAAAATGAGTTCAAAAAATTTCATGACAGTACAGTATACAGTAATGTACAGTCTTTAGTAACTTACTGACAGTAATACATGGTATTGCTGACTTCTGGATATCGAAAATACTTGTTAATTATAGTTTTGTTATAATTATAATTTTTCTATTGTCAAGAAATTTTAAATTATTGTACAATTTTTTGAAAAAATTCCATAACTTGGACAATCTTTTCAAAGTTATGTAAAGTATAAATTGGAAGAGACTGAATTAGAAGAATGTTTACTGTATGATATGATACTGATTCATTTAAGATTTATGATTTATTCATTTGAATAAAATTTTAAACAAAAAAGTTTTGATTAGTTCTGAAATTTCAATATCTAACATTATAAATTTNTTTGAGTAAGATCATCATTCTAGAAAACGTGTTTTTGTTATTCTCCCGATATCCGAATATTTTTATTTTAAATATCATATTTCATCTCTCAAAAAATAAAATAAAATTTGTTAGGCTGCAATTTGAAAAAATTGTAGACCTATAAATTCCCATTGCTGTCTGTCCATATGTCTTTCCTTAATCTCGAGAACAGAGTTAGATAGATGAAAGATGAGACCCAGAAGTCACGTTATTTCAATTTAAAAATTTTCCCCAGAAAGGCATTAGATAGATGACCAGCATAACTCTTGTTAAAGGAAAAATATGATGTACAGGGCAAGTCACTACTAATTTGAGGTGGAGAGCATATATTTTAAAGTTTAAATAAATTAAAAATATGATTAAAAGTTTGCAGCCCAGCATTTTGATGCTGTCACAATAAATAATTGCTCATTCATTATTGTAATTGTTATATCAAATCTTTCAACTTAATAAAAACATTTACAACTGTCAATCAAAGATCCTGTTAATCACAATCTCCATCTAGCATAATAATATAATGGTATATCCCTTACTGACAGTGGACTTGCCCTTCTGCACTGATAAAAGTGACAACTATAACTCAAGCTATCAATTTTATTATTTACTTACCCCATTTTCTGGAAAACAAGCTACATAATCCCTCCAATGTCTTTGAAGGATTCCTACCACTTCTCCTGTTGGAATTCTTTCTATTTTATCACTATCTACTTTATCATCTAAAAAATAATTTAACTGAAAGTTATAAGTTTTACTAATTGCATAACATTTAAAATTAATTCAAAATCTTGTTACCAATGTAACATTGATGCTCAGGAGTTCTGGAAATCCATTTATCTTTTTCAAATAATTTAACAACGACATCATCGCCATGAATTGCTCTATTTCGATATCTCATGCCAGAAATAAAAATATCTCCACCAAATCTAAAAATTCCCAGAATGATTATTTCAATTTATTAAATGTAAAAAGTATTTTGAAAATGTATACATACTTTGATGATATAATAAATGCTTCTTCTTGTGGATTATTTTTATTTACTTTTAAAATGCCATGATAATATTGTCCATTTTTAATACCATTTTCTAATGCATCTGATGGAATATGATTTGGATACAGTTTTGTATTTTCTGTAAAAAATTTAATTTTAATTAGGTTATTTTAGAATAGAATGTAATGAATAAATTTAAAATAATTTAGTGATATGAATGGATTTTAATCATATCATTTATATTAAATATATTTTTGTATAAATAATATTTATTTTACTTAGAAAAATGATGGTAGCTTAGTAAGGCTATTCTTATATTCTTATGCTTGATATTCAGAATTATCAATATTAAATCCAAATCCTGTTATGGCACCTTACAGATTTCCAAAGTAGGGATATGTACAGTACCTTTATTTCATAATTTATTTGTGAGGGGCTAAGCCAAGGATACGGAGTAGGTCAGACTCTAGTATCACTAAATCGGCAAACTATTCTTACAAATAGCCCTCTATTTGTCCAAAAGAATGACTTTTCTATCTAAAGAAATCGAGTGTGGAGGGCTTTAACTATTATGTTAAGAAAGAGGATCTAGGGGATGAATCCTAGATCTCGTCAGGATCCTTGACACAAGTTAATCACTTTTATCGTACGCGGATTAACACGCGTAATGGAAAGTTATGGAGATAAAATATTTTGATTCAGACATTTAGACCTTACTTAATATAAAAACGAGTATTTAATAAACAAAATAAAATTATACAAATAGACCTTCGAATAAAACTATTTATCGCGGAGAGAGAGATTATACAATTTCTGTAAAAATCATACTACCTCAGACATTTCTATATTCTTCATCTGTATTTCCAATCTAATACGAATGTTCTTAACTTGGTTAATTCTTCTCTAGCACATCAATAAACATTTTTTTCTTGTATTTTCCGACTTAATAACAAATTTTAGTAGACTTCAGGAATCGGTTATGGGCGTTGGCCATAGGGAGATGATGTGGAATACGCCCTCGTTCTCTCAAATTTCAAGGCGTACTCTCCGAATGATACTCAAGAATCCCCTTTTTTGATGGTTTTCTCAATCTGAGAATTATATTATTTCCATGTGTTTAGGATGAGTGGGGGTTTATAGAGGGGTTGACTGTTCCCAGGGTGACTAAAATTTTAGGATATAAGGGAAAACAAAAAGGATGTCAAACTTCCATTGAAGGAAGTGACTTTTACCAGTTTTCTTTGTTTTTAACTTAAAATTCTTTCATTTAAAATCAGAAATATTACTTTCAAAAATTTATGTTTTTGACATCAAATTTCAATAAATTAGGGTGGGTGTGTCCAAAATCTCTCATATTGTTCTATGATGTACTTTAATTCATACCTTATCAGATGGATTTAAGATTATAATATCATAGTAACAATCATAAATTCATCTGATGCGGATGCAAATTAAATGAATTGTAAATTATGAAATACAGTTACAGATCTCTAGATGAATTACTTTGGAAATCTTTAGCCATGGTACTGTAATAGAATCTAGATCAGTGTTTCCCAAATTTTTTGGACTACCCTCCTTTTAGTGCATATATTTCTTAAATATACACCTATCCCTCTTTTTATATGATCTATTTTTATGCAATTTTGAAATAACATGGTTGACTAAAGAAAACTAATCCTCTTTTTATGCAATCAAATTTTTTTACATTGGAAAAAACAGTTTATTTAAAATTTTTCAATTTAACTTTGTTAAAATTGTGTTATTGTTTCAAAAGTTACTCTTTTTGTTGAATCAAGAGTTCAATTATCTTTTTTAAACACAGTACAATACTGTATATACATTGAATAATACTTTATGTTGATTAACTGTTTTCTATGCAACCTTGTGTTTACTATATTTACATACAAATAATGATAAATGATGTTAGTCTAAAAAAATTCATGTTTGTTTTGTAAATTGCTTATTTTTTTCATTCCATTGAAATTGTGGATCCTATCAAGTGTTTTTCTACAGGATACATGTACTGTAATATTTTTTTATGCATCATTCTTTGGAACATAGCCACCATGAAAAAAAGGGATAGGTGTATATTTGTTTCAAAATGAATTTTTCTTCCCCTTGCCTTCCAGCATCCCCTCAAGTTTTCTATAGTCCTGAAGAGAGCAGCAGTGCCGACTTTGGGAATCATTGGTCTAGATCAGGGCTGCCCAATTCATTTTGGAGGTAGGCTATAATTTCAATTACATGTCAGCCAGTGGGTCACCTAGTGAATCATACTTGCTTACACTCATGATTCTTCTATAAATGGATAGGTATTTGAATCAAACAAAACTTTAAGTTGCACATGTTTTAATAATACCTAATAAAAAATACATCAATGAGACCTAATAAGAGGTTTATTAGCTAATAATTTTTCAATATTTGGTGACAACAATTTAATTTTAATACACAAAAGTTGACTCAAAACTAATAGAACAAGTGTAATAAATGCATAGATTAGGTATTAACAGCGGTGTGGTGGTGACTCAAGTCATAGTTCATTCCGCGTTCAACCAATCACGTGGCAGTTGGCATTATTGGTAGCATGACATCGCACATGGTGACAGCTGACCGCTGCTGTGAGTGAGCAAATTCAAATTGCATTTGAACCAACGCATTTGAACCAAGGCTGCCCAAACCCAGGCTCGTGGACCACAAAGTGGCCCACGAGCCTGGGTTTGGGCAGCCTTGGTCTAGATCTAACTCTGGTAATTCTGAACAATAAGAAAAATAAAATATTTAAAATTTTTAAAATAAAATTGTAATACATACGGGTTTGATTTAACTGCTATTTTTTGACACAATTTAACTAAAAAATGTTTTAAGCATTTTATTCTATTTTATAACATTTATTTTTATTTTTTAATATTACCACTTAAAAAATTCTTAGAAACTAGAAATTAGAAGAATTCTTATAATTAAAATACAGAAAAACCTAATCAAGAAAATCAGATTTATTATTCATGTAATATTCACAATATTTTCATTTTTAATTTAAACAAACACCCAGATATATATACAACAATACTTTAATTTATTGCTTTCCCAAAAGTATAAGTCAATTTCTAGAATCCCTGCACAAATTTTATTTAAACTATGGAAATTAAACCAATATCAATTGTTCCTCAATTTATTGTTTTCTCTTATCTATACATCAGCATTTTTAGTTCAGAAGAAGATGAATCCCAGGCTAATCATTTTAAGAAAGAGCAACACCAGACACACAAATATTAGTATGCATTGGTAGCAGTGGCGTGCCGTGACATTTAGTTGTAAATGATGTTGTCAAAGTAACAGTTAATTTTTAACATTGTATATGTCTTTTTCTGCATATCCTTATAGATGGGACATAATAAATTGTAATATCACTAATAGAAAAATTTAGAAAAATATATATCTTTGGACTATACATATAACTGAGTCCATCTTCATCTGTCCTTTCACACGCTTTGTAGAGGCAATAACAAATTCACGGCGATACCGACCTTTTATTTGAGGCTACATGTTCGCCGTCCAATGTAAAAAAGTTAAAACAGTCCTCTAGCAGTGGCCAATATAATTATTAAATAAATAAATACATTAAAATAATTTGCCAGGACGAATTCACAAATAGAAAAATTTAGAAAAATATATTTCTTTGGACTATACATATAACTGAGTCCATCTTCATCTGTCCTTTCACACGCTTTGTAGAGGCAATAACAAATTCACGGCGATACCGACCTTTTATTTGAGGCTACATGTTCGCCGTCCAATGTAAAAAAGTTAAAACAGTCCTCTAGCAGTGGCCAATATAATTATTAAATAAATAAATACATTAAAATAATTTGCCAGGACGAATTCACAAATAGAAAAATTTAGAAAAATATATTTCTTTGGACTATACATATAACTGAGTCCATCTTCATCTGTCCTTTCACACGCTTTGTAGAGGCAATAACAAATTCACGGCGATACCGACCTTTTATTTGAGGCTACATGTTCGCCATCCAATGTAAATAAGTTAAAACAGTCCTCTATACATATAACTCAGTTATATGTATAGTCCAAAGAAATATATTTTTCTAAATTTTTCTATTTGTGAATTCGTCCTGGCAAATTATTTTAATGTAATATCACTAGTTTAACATTGAAATCTGTAAGTAATACAAGATGGGAGAGCAGAATAAAAATATCAAATATTTTAATGGATTTTTTTTAAACTCCTGTCAACTATACAGAACTATCATAAAAACATACCAGTAAACTCCTATTGGTTGGGTTAAGTTATAAATCTACTTGTGATTCACATAATGGGGTGAGGGCGGCCAAATATCTAGCGCGCAGGCAGCTAACAGCCCAGAACTGGTCCTGGATAGAATGATTAGAAGCATTATACAATATTTTGGTGTGTAGCATCCACCAGCTAAATCACATGAGGTTGGTGCTCTGCAAAGTGCATGCGCAAATGCGTATAATCTGGCTGCTTTATACCATTCAGATATTTTCACCGTGAAAAGCTGTCCCATATTCGACAATACAATGCTTCCAATGGGAATATGTATATATGAATTTATATTCGAATATATAATAGCAATCTTATCATTTTTTTTCACATGTAGTATAGAAATTTGTAATAAGATACATAATGCATAAAGATACATAATACATATATAAGCATAATAATGCAATAAGATACATAATGTAATAAGATACATAATACAAAAAGTCATTCTATAACTTTTTAGGTTTGACTAAGCTAATAAGATTTTTATGTTTACATATATATGCTGTCATTCTCACAACTGAAAAAGTCATATATACTATGTGATCAAATAAAAAGTTTGTTTGCATGGAGTAGATGTGGCAATGCTGGAAGTCATAACCGCATTATTATATTTTATTATAATGCGGTTATAATAAAATATTAATTTTAATTAATTCAAAGTATGTTAAAATATGAAAATAATCACACAATATGTATTTATATTTTAGAAAATACAAGGAAAGTGGCACTTCTACTGCTTCCAAGGATGTCATGCCACTGATTGGTAGTAATAGTGACTGATGTTTTTGGATTGCAGTATAGCAAGTAACAATTGGACAATTAGCTGTACAACTTTGCTTTACCTGCTTTACCTGCCAGACAAGTTGGAGAGGAATGGGTGGTGGTGGTGATGATAATGTTGAAGTCAAGACAAAGTCAAGAAAGTCAAGACAAAGAAAACCAATGCCAAACTATACCAAAGTAGTTTGTGATTTCAAGTTCCACGAGTGTTTTTTTTTTTTTTATGTTTAAGACAACACAGTAAAAGACCAAGAAAATATTATTAATATTGAAAGTTTGTTGTTCAGTTCAAAAAGGAAAAGTGCTACTAAACAAATAGTGATGAATGATTTTTTAAAAAAGTAATGCATATTGGGCTTGATAATGGAAAAAATATCATCATTGCACCTTTTTTTGATTAAGTAAATACATAGAGACAAATGTGACTTTTTTTATTTTATCAATTTACCTATTGTTTTTTCAGTTCTCTCAATAAAAAAATTAATTGGAGGTTTTGATATATATATATATATATATATATCTGATATATTGTAAACTTTAAAAACATCAAATCAAAAACTATAAATGAAATATATGTGAAAATTATTTAGTTTAAGTCAAATTATCTTATAAGTTGACCCAGAATCTATTGTTCATTCTATAACTTTTTAGGTTTGACTAAGCTAATAAGATTTTTATGTTTACATATATATGCTGTCATTCTCACAACTGAAAAAGTCATATATACTATGTGATCAAATAAAAAGTTTGTTTGCATGGAGTAGATGTGGCAATGCTGGAAGTCAGTGGTATTTGACTGGCTCATCACATACCACTAGACACTGGCACATGCACTGGCAGATAAGTAAACTCCCAGTAAGTAAACTTTATATTTATGAAATAAAGACCTTAGTTTAATTATAAATTGAGCAGCAAGTGCTCTTTATTTTATATTTTAATACAGAATATTATAATAAATTTTGTTTATTTTAAGATCTGTATTATAAGCTTAATAATTATCTTCAAATTTGTTATTGTTAATATAAAATAAATTGAACAAATTTTATTAATAAACATATGTAGATGCATTTTAATACATAATTCTATATACTAATATTTTAACTATAACAACAAATTTAACATCACTTTACCTAATATGTTATCCTTAATACTAGGTGAAGACTTTATTGATTCATATAATTCTAAATAGAGATTATAATATTGCTGCAAATAAGCTTCTATATTCATTACAGATAAACCAGGAATAATATCCTCAAATTCCTTCAGTAACTATATATAAAAAAAACGAAAATAATTATAATGCATATAAATATATATTTATTTCTTCTTATATATTAAAACAGCATTTAAATAAATATTTTTTAAAATATTATATTCAATAAAAAAATTGTCTAAACAAATAATTTTATATTTACTTATCACATAAAGAATATTATGCTACATATACTTGTAAAAATTTCTTATATATAAAGTAAAACATAATATGTAATTTATAAAGAAAAAAAATCACATATAGAAAAAGCAAAACATAATAAATTAAACAATTATTATATTTACAAAATCTAAAATTGTATTTCTTATGTTATAAATAACATATAATGAAGTTAAAAAGATTGAATATACAGTAGAGCGTCATTTATCCGAATCAATTGGGGACTGGGGTTGTTCGGATAACTTATTTTTCAGATAACCGATTGTGTATGAAAAAATATATTAACCTATCCCGTGTTGAAATTTTTCTCCGTTGCGAGTCACTTTGCATTGAATTTTTGTCGATGTTAAGCCTAAAGTAAACTTTTTAAAATAATAATCGTGGCTATTGTATCGTTAAAAATGATTTCTTTATGTTTTACAAACGAAATAAATACATTGAAAAATATAAAAATTATACTTTAGGCCGACTGAAATTCTTTCGGATAACTGACATTTCAGATAAACTACGCTATACTGTATTGTTTTTCTCGCTAAGTAACAGATGTCAATCACGTGGATATTTCTATTTAAAATAACTCATGATAACTGTTTTAATAATTACATAATTTATTTTCTCTTATCGAATATAGACTTTTTATTCTTTTTTCTCTAAAAACAACTTAAGACAAACTATTTTTCTTATCTAAAATATGATTTTAATTATAGTTAAAAATAACATTCCAAATAATAGTTTTTTTATATAAAACAAACTTTATGAATTTATTAAACAATTCATTTGTTTATTTAATTATAATTTCCACTTACAAAACATCGGCATTTGATAAAGAATATCATTCAACATATGCTTCTTCTACAAAAACAGCGATCTCAATATAATATTTAGGAATATTTTATGTATTTTTACCTTTATAACATTTTTCTTCACAGTTTTTATAACAAATTTTCAGATATAAATTTGTATGAGTAGATTTTATTTGTTAGAAAATTTAGACATGATTGATTTCCTCTGATTCAAAGAATGTACAATTATAATGATGGATATTTTTTCAAGAATTCAGAGAGAAAGAGAGAAAGTAACAAGAGAAATTGTAAGAGAATGTATTTGGAAGCAAGGTAGTCAGCAGTAGAGAGCCAAAATAATTGAAACTTTCAAATTGGATTCTGAATCCTTAAATAAATTAACTGATTCAATTTAAAATAAAGTATTTAAAAGTTCCTTTATTTTAAATTATTTTAAAATGTAAGATTACAAGAAGAAAGAATTAATAGAGTAAAATAGCCTATTTAGGCAAAATAGGCTATTTTACTCTAGTATTGTGCACTAGTTGTTCTCACAATACTCTTTCAGTGTTCAAACATGAGAGTAATAGTGGAAGAATAATATCACATTTTTCATTTGATCTAAAACATCATAAAGTTATTAAACTAAACTGCTGAAACTTGCAATTTAGCAGTAGAATACATTTATTAGAAAGTTTCAAAATTATTTTGCTTATTATAAATAAATGTTAGTACTGAGTCTAAAATACAGTTCATCATCTAATCATATGTTAATTCTAGAATAGATCACTGTATAAATAAATATTAAATAGTCTCTGATGAATAATTAATGTTACAAAATTTTTTGAAAGTTTGTTTTGAAATTAGGATTGGATTGGATTGATGGGATAAGGCAATGAAACACATAGGTGATGTTCTGCCAAGGGGATACCTCTGAGGAGAACTTTCTATGAAAAATTGTCCCTATTTAGATGTCAGACATGTGAAGAAAATGCAGAAAACCTAACAGCCAGTTTGTTAACTGGACACAAATCTATTACCAACTACCAGTGATTTTATTCACTCAGCCACTGTTGAGCTTGTTTTGAAATTAAATTTAGCCTAAATTATGAATAAATATTATGTAACAAGATTGTGTAACAAGGAAACATAAAAAACAGAAAAATTTTGTAATTTTTCTAGTTATTCTAAAGTTCTAAGTGCCCTTAATAGTAATTTCAATTTATAACAGAGAGAATAAATTTTAAAAATTAAATACATTTACTTACTTTTAAATTTTCAGTAAGAATTATTATAGGGACACTTTGTTTGAAATGTTCAGAATACCATTTAGCACATTTGTAAACACATCTAGATAAAAATTGATGCAAATAATATAATTAACAAATTATAATTCAAAAAATATACTATTAATTTATTAAATATCAATAAATAAATTTCAATTAATCATAACAAACAGCGGTTAAAAATTACATTAAGATATATTTCTTAAATTTATTAATAAACAATTATCATTATTAATAAGAACTGAAAAACTGGAAAGTGAGGAAGAAGCAAACAAAATAACATTATTAAATCAAATTCTTGTATTTGTATTTCTATATAAAATATTTATTTATATTATTAACAAGTAAATAGCAAATACTAATTAATTACATAATGAATATATTATTTATACAAGAAAAAAAATCATATGATATAGGCTAAATGAAAATATATTATTCCGTTTTTGAATCAAATCATATTTTGTTGCTTACTTCAAGCATATAAAACATTAAATATTTAGATTTCAGATAGATTATGATAAAATAAGACAAAATTGAAGAAGTAAGCAGATTAAAGAAGCATGCCTTGTATAACTTCAGCAAAATATTTATTTAATCAAAGATTTCACTTTATCCAACACCAGAAATATCAATTACGTACCTCGAAGCCTGTTACTAGTGTGCAATTGACTTCAAAAAATGAAAAAAAATAAAATTTCACAAACGTTTTCGAACCTTCAATGGTTCTTCTTCAGGCGGCGACAAATTTCCGTTAGAATGTCATTAAATATGAAAATTATTTGAAATTCGAATATGCACTAGCCGATGAATTTTTACCAGGCATGCGCACTACATACATAGCACACGACAAGAATTTATAGCGTTTTGTCCACTAGCACTTGCCATGACAAAGATAGATTTATTTCTTCCTTGTGGTTGATGCAGGTACTGAGTTTGTATATGTATAAGGCCTCAAACCACTTTAGATGTTCAGTGTATGGTGTGCTGTGGATAATTCTCACTTGGCTAAAATTCAGTTCTATCTCAGGATCACTGGCGTAAATACTTAGAGCTTTGGTGGTCCTGGCGCGTTGTACGTCCACGATGTGCTTTTTTACTCTAATGCTCAAGGAACGATTTGTAGAGCCGATGTAGCAGAGCTCTCTCTCGCATCTGCAATCTTTTATTGTAGACTCCTGGGAGTCTACCCCTGCTAGGAATGTCCTTTAACTTAGGAAGTCATAAATGGACACCTTCTATATGTGATGTGAATGCGGCACTTCCTAGTTATCTGTGTAAACAGTGATTAAAGTGTGGTGTTTGTGATCTTTAGGTACCTGGAATCTTAAGATCCATTGTAGTTTTTTGTGATAGTGTCTCTTCAGACCGACACTGTCTGTTGTGTACTGACACCAACTTTGCATTTTCTTGGGCTAATTTATCTGGGCCCTGATTGAAGAGTGTATTTTCAATACGCACCAGCTCTGCTAACTTAGAGTAAACAGTTTTCCTTTCCATTCTTATAGCCCTATTTAAGCACATCTGCTGTACTTCATAAAGCAGTGGTTCGCTTCCAGGTGGAAGGCGGATGCAGAAAATGACATGGGTAGAACTCCTTTCTTCTTATATTGTCAGAAATTCATGTTTGTCTCTAGCCTTAGTTACCTTAGCTCTCATAAGCCTAACTAAGGCTAGAGACAAACATGAATTTCTGACAATATAAGAAGAAAGGAGTTCTACCCATGTCATTTTCTGCATCCGCCTTCCACCTGGAAGCAAACCACTGCTTTATGAAGTACAGCAGATGTGCTTAAATAGGGCTATAAGAATGGAAAGGAAAACTGTTTACTCTAAGTTAGCAGAGCTGGTGCGTATTGAAAATACACTCTTCAATCAGGGCCCAGATAAATTAGCCCAAGAAAATGCAAAGTTGGTGTCAGTACACAACAGACAGTGTCGGTCTGAAGAGACACTATCACAAAAAACTACAATGGATCTTAAGATTCCAGGTACCTAAAGATCACAAACACCACACTTTAATCACTGTTTACACAGATAACTAGGAAGTGCCGCATTCACATCACATATAGAAGGTGTCCATTTATGACTTCCTAAGTTAAAGGACATTCCTAGCAGGGGTAGACTCCCAGGAGTCTACAATAAAAGATTGCAGATGCGAGAGAGAGCTCTGCTACATCGGCTCTACAAATCGTTCCTTGAGCATTAGAGTAAAAAAGCACATCGTGGACGTACAACGCGCCAGGACCACCAAAGCTCTAAGTATTTACGCCAGTGATCCTGAGATAGAACTGAATTTTAGCCAAGTGAGAATTATCCACAGCACACCATACACTGAACATCTAAAGTGGTTTGAGGCCTTATACATATACAAACTCAGTACCTGCATCAACCACAAGGAAGAAATAAATCTATCTTTGTCATGGCAAGTGCTAGTGGACAAAACGCTATAAATTCTTGTCGTGTGCTATGTATGTAGTGCGCATGCCTGGTAAAAATTCATCGGCTAGTGCATATTCGAATTTCAAATAATTTTCATATTTAATGACATTCTAACGGAAATTTGTCGCCGCCTGAAGAAGAACCATTGAAGGTTCGAAAACGTTTGTGAAATTTTATTTTTTTTTCATTTTTTGAAGTCAATTGCACACTAGTAACAGGCTTCGAGGTATGTAATTAATCAAAGACATTTTCAACCTATTATTACAGGTCTTCTTCAGGTGGGTATTAGGTCAAAAACATTTTTGGACAAATAAATATTTTGCTGCAGTTATACAAGATATGTTTATTTCATCAGTTTTATGAGAGCTTTTTTATTTTATAAAACTTAAAACTAAAATTGAAATATTATTAAAAATATTATACTTTGCCAAATATATATCTTTTGATTGAGTATTTTCTTGAGATAAATGTGTATCTTGATAAAGTTCATTAAGAAATATAATACTTCCTCTTCTAGGCTCATGTACAATTTCCAAAATTTTGTTATAATTATGTCTGCTAACATCATGAAGCATCTAATAATAATAATAATTCATAATTTAGAAATCATCGTTATTATTATTTACTTATTGCATTAACTTTATAAACAAATTATATAGATATTAAATGATAACTTACTTAATCAGGGAATATAACATTTAATGGATTAGATTCAATCAATCTTTGTAATAAGTAAGACATAAATACAAAAAGTCATGATTAAATTTTATTGTAAAATACAGTAGAACCTCGATTATCCGGACTAATTGGGGATGAAGGTAGTCCGGATAAGGAAAAATCCGGATAATTGAAACAAATACTTTAATTTGTCTTTTAACGATAATACAACATGTTTTCTTTTCGATGACATATCGGTAATATTAAAAATAAATATTGTATTTAAATCGTGATCAAATTTTCAAGAAACAAACGTTTGTATTAAATTTGGACTACTACTGACCAGCGCTAACAGACTAGATATTGTTTAAAAGGCCCTCTAGTGGCTCAAGAAGACGGATTTTATAAAATAAAAAAGCAGTTGAAACTGCATTTTTATGAATAAAAATTTGACAAACTATTTATCGTTTTATGACGAGTAAAATTTTTTTGTCGCGTTCGCTTTTAAGTAATGCATAAACCTTCGAGGCACAAGGCCCTTCGGACCGCGAGGCATAGGCCCACGTCTCCCATGCCTTACGCCGCCCTTGGTCATAGAAATGATGTAATTTGAATATAAATTATTTATAAATATGTATGTCAAGTTATATTTTTATTACAACGCAAAATATATTTAAGAGTTTATGACCACTGTGCTGGGTGAGACGTTGTTGAAACAAAAAATGTTATGCATTCCATCACGTACATAAACAGTGTCGTAATTCGCCAAGTGCAAATCAGCAAATTCATAAAATTTTTGTTTATTTTGAACAATCCGGATAATCGAAAATCCGGATAATAGAGGTCCAGATAATTGAGGTTCTACTGTATACATGTTGACAATTATTAAACAAAGACTCTAAGAAAGTAAAGAAGTGAAAGGTCTCAAAAAATGTTTCATCTTATATTAAATTTTGACTCTCATTTCCTTAATCAAAGACAAATTTTAGAGTACCATTAAACAATCAAAGACTTAATGTCTTTGATTGTTTAATGGTACTCAAAAATTAGACTTATGCTGACAATGTTAGAATTATTCAATAACAAATATTTTCAATCAAATTTAATCTAAGGTTTTACCTTTTAACTGTTTTAACCTTTTTAAGATTTAAATGTGGTGTCAATTCCTAATGTTATACATTTACTTTATAAGATTAACAATTGACATCATAATTACAAAACAACTTGTGTTTTGCAGAACCCCAGGGTTTGACAATAAAATCCGTTGAGTCTAGTGATGTATGAATGTGCCAATACAGATTTGGGATGTGAGGTGTAATTGCTGTAGTCTAGGATCGAGTCCTTGTATCATCATACAGACTCCATCCCAGACTATACACGTGCTAAAGTTACTTATAGCTTTATAAAGTTACTTATAGTGGAAACCAATTTATCAGTAACGGAAACTATATAAAATCATGATATAATGTTTGACAAGATAATGGAAACCATAAAAACAAGCTAAAAATCATTCAAAAAATCATAACCTTAAAAAGGATCCAACATTTAAATAAAAATAGAATGTTAAATCTGTATATCTATTAAAAGCAAAATGCTCTTTTAACACTGCACAGAAATAATGTAAATTTAAAAATAAATTTGATTTACAACTTAAAAATTTCAAAACAACTTTAAATGGTTTTTAAATATCAATACATCATTTTAATTTTCAATTGATTTGATTTCAATTTTAATTAATTAATTTGATTTTATTTTTAATTATGGTTTTAAACAAACAACTTGACATCTAAATGCAAAGTCCAGCATATAATGAACAAAAAAACTTTAATGTTCAAATATTTTTGGCCATCTTTCAGAGGCTCTCATCAGGAAAGAATGCACAAAACAAAAAAACAGTTCTATCTTTTGAAAAGTTTTAGCTTTCGAACATAGCTGTGTTCCAATTTTTAAACATTTAAACAATGTTCAATACAAAGATCGTTACATATTACAACATATAAATAAATTATTTTTTCAAATAAAGCTATAAATAAATTCATTACTAATATAATATATAGCATTGCAAAAGTCAGCCCAATTTTTTAACGTATAAATGATGTTCGATAAGGAAATTGTTTCCTTTACATTGCATAAAGATAAATCATAATTACACATCAAAACTTATCGTTATTCTTTGTGGCATTGTGTATAATACTTCCATGATTGTGAAACTGGAATATAGTCAGAATTAATGCAACCTCCCTTTATGTCCACTATATGAATTTCAAGAGCCTCCAAAGAACGTAACGTTTTTTGTTCATTATATGCTGGAATTCGCATTTAGGTGTCAAGTTGTTTGTTTAGTATGCAGTTCCAGTTTGTGTGCCAATTTTTATGTATACAGTAGAGTCCATACAATGCAGGGGATTCGTTATGCATTATAGGAAATTGTGTTATCGAAACCTGCATTATCACACAATTTGTGAAAGTTTAAACCTTGGCCTATAAGTTGAAAAAAATGTATACCTCTGATAGACAAAATTTGAGGGCGTTGCTTGCTTTATTTGCGCGTTGTACAGGACTCTACTGTAATTATAGTTTTATTTTCAAATTCAATTTTAATATAAAGTGGCTATCTGATATGCTTTAATTTGTTGATAACTGCAGATTCCAATATTTGTTATTGTTGAGATTCCAACATTTTTTATTAAGGTGAAAAGGGTTCTATGTTAATATGGAATTGAAAGGGATAAAAATAAGTTGGGAACCTCTGCTCCAGATGCTATTAATTATATAAATTCTCAAAACATTAATCAGTGATTAAAATTAAAATTTTCCATCTTAAATTCAATTATTATTCTTTTTTCATTTATTGGTTGCATACTATTAATTTACACTGTATGCTTTTTAATATTTAATTTATGATATTTAAATTCTTTGCCCACATGTTACTTGTGTTTTGAACAATTTATTCATATTTTCTTTAAAATTATAGTCTTGTTATAAGTAAAAAATAGAAGACAAGGCAGTACAATGAAATCAACTATATTAAAATTATAAACGTTACTTGCTTAGCTCAACAGGTATGGTCTGAAATCAATCAATAAGCTGAAAAGGAAACTACAGTCTACAACATCCACTGTAGAGATACTTTTTAAAAACCCTATATATAAAAGATCTTTTCCAATAGTTAAGAAATATTATTTAAATATACAGATCTATTTATAAATCATATTGTAACATCTTTCTAATAATTGTATAGAAATGTGAGATTAGCAGTGGGTCACTGGTTAATCTCCAAATGACCACTTACTCTGCAACAGGTTGATAAAACCCGATCTCGGAGTCTGTTGGATGGCTAGGAGGGCAAATCGAGTGGGGAGTGTGTCAGTAAGTCGGCAGGTGTCCTTAAATGACAGGAGACAGGTTCAACAAAATAACAAAGCATTTATTGAATGGCTAAGCTATGATACATAAAGTGATAACAATATATATGTTAAATGTGGTTAGATACAACTAAGAATAAATGCAGGTAACATAAGTTCACTATACCCTAAAGGGACGCACTAAGAGGGCTAGTCTGAGAGAGAGCGTTCTCAAGCTCTAAAACAATGCAAATACCTCAATGTGGATATAACCATCATGCGTTCGATGAATATGTTCCTTAATGGCGATGGAAGTTCTGTCCTATGTCCTGTCGATCTGGCATATGGAGACAAAACACACAGTTACAAGTATACTTCCGAGAGATCGCCTCAAGCTTCCGGGGATTCGAGCTTTTATATCATTCGTGTGGGAAAACTGACATGTGATTGACTTTTGTTGATGATGACGGTGCATTCTTCACACCTAAGTGTAAACTTTCCCAGCTAGTTGTTATAGAATCGGTGAAATCCGATCTAGTTCAAATTCTTCAGGTTTTTTCCGAGGATATTTACAATTAACAGAAAATTTAGATTTTTAAGAGGCCTGTAAAAATCCGCAGGCTCACAGAAAGAATGCTTATCAATAATCTCAAACAAATTATGTTGATTTGTCATCATAATACCAAGCTATCAAATTGTTATTGATGATGATATTTTACAAAATACTATTGAAAACTTATTAAAAAATTAATTTCAATAAATTCAATTTTTAACAATATAGTTGTAGAGATAACTTACTCTGGTAACTAAAGTTTGCAAAAATATGATTCCAGAAATTGTTGATCTTTCTAATAATTCTAAATAGTCTTGTAATATGTCAAAACATGGTAGAATATAGTGATGATCATGTGATGATAAAAAACTTCTCATACCTGAAAAAAACAAGAATAAATACATAAATAATATTTATTGGAAAATCATATTTTAAATTTTTTTAATTTCTTACAAAAAATGTTTACAAGATGTGTAAATTATATTGTGCTGTTTTGCAAAACCAAAATATTGCACTAAACTTCAAAGTTATATTATATTATGCTAATGTAAATTTATAATACCCTAAAACCTTGGCTTTAAGCTAGCTTTGTTTTTAACCACAAAAGCAAAAGTTATAAAGGAATGTTGATGTTTCATGAATAAGCTGCTCATATATAGGCTGCAATCTACTGCTAAGGTACTAGGTATGACTGCAAAATAAAAATGAATAGGATCAGGAAAACATTATGTGGTGTGACGGGTTAATGAGAACCACATTATATAAATAATACACCAAGAACCTATCATGTATTCCAAATATACAATAATGGTATCTATTTATTTCCAGTCAAGTTAAATTACAGATCTCAAAACCATCCGTAATATTACACATTACCTCTTTTAAATACAGAATTTTAACCGTTTATTTCTCTTCATTAACGATGCTCATAGATCTAATTACACAACACGTGTGAGTCCTGAAACCAGCCAGTTCACAATCTGTTTGAATTGTCTTATATTGCTAATTAAAATTAACTTAAATTAAACTAAAACTAATGTTACTTAGGTTAGAGAAAGAAGATAGGAAGATTATGTAGAAGGGGATCCCTTTTCTTTGTCTAGCAAGTTGGGTAATTTGCAATGTCTATCACAGTTAATTGAGAGGATACAACCTGACCACGTGGACACCTTTCGATGAGACAAAATATCCATATACAAATCCTCCTTTATATCTCGATAGTATCACTTCTTCACTTCTTTAATACAACTTCTCTGAATCTCTGTTGACTGAGTCTTCCTCAAGTGCCTTCCTCATCATTGCCACGCGTCTCACCCCTCACTCCCATCCTCCTACACTATAATGTAGATTTAAAAAAAACCCTTCAAGCCCGAAATTTGCCAGGAAATGCACATAGGTTGGAAGAGTCAAACATGAATAGGGAAAATAGTGCAAGTTAATTTTAGGTAGATGAAGAGATCACAGATAACTTAAAAGGTCAATTAATAAAACATATATATACCTGTAGTGGGATACACCACAATTATTTATGTAACTATTACTGTGTACTACAGTTAATTGTAAACTATTTTATTGTATTTTTCTTTTATACAGTTACAGTTATATTCTCATTTTTGTCTGTCTGTCTTTCCTTAATCTTGAGAACAGAGTTAGATAGATGAAAGATGAGACCAGTTTTATAGTAGTAGAAAAACAATTTTGATATTTCTACAGAGTGGCACAAAAGTCTCCATACATAAAGATTTAATGGAGTTTTCCATTCATTTGTAAGTGAACTTTTTGTTTTTAACTATTTCCATCTTGCACTAAGAGGGCCTTTTTCTACACTCATCATTGGTTCAGCCATGCCCGTAATCAGATGACCAGGTGGTAAGGAATGGATTGTTCATAAAAAATTCAGGTGGAAGGTACTCTTATCAAACTCATATTGTAGTGTACAGTGATAAACAGAACATGGAATGGAACTTATCTCAAGTATGGAGACTTTCATCACTCTAGAGCATTGTTCCCCAACTGCCAGTCCATGCACTAGTACTGGACCATGAAAAAATTTCAACAGTATGCAGAAAAATATTTAACTGTACTGATGCTGAAACAATTTATCATGGGTGACATTTAAATAGTAATCCAAAGTTAATTTACAAATATACTTTATTGTACAGCAACTCTAGATATAACTGTAATAAGTATCAATATATCAAACATTCCGAAGCTGATATACATACATACATATACATACATAACCAAACAATCACCTTAAATAATCAGGCTATAAATCCACTATTTTAATAATTAATACTAAGTAATTTGCTACTAGAAGTTAGGCATCATCTGTTATCTAAATAATTAATAATTATAATTTTAATAATTTATTAAATAATTTAGAATCATCTGGTAGAAAAGAACTGGCCTGGGGCAGGGCTTGAACCTACAACCTCCTCTTGCCGTGAGGTGCACTTCCAGTTGCACCACCCAGACCTCAAGCAAGCCTTTTCTTCCAGATGTATTTAAATTACATAGTAATAATTATTAAAATAGTGGATTTATAGCCCAATTATTTAAGGCGATTGTTTGGCTATGCATCTATAAGTGTAATAAATAAGCATAATTCATAGCTGCATATAATTACTGATCCACCTATAATTTTACTAGTCAGTATTGAGAAGCAGTGCTCTAGAAAACTGATGTGCATAAAATAATGCATAGATCAATTGTTCATAAATATTAATCCTTGCTAACAAGTAAATAATTCTATTTAATGATGTTCAAATCCACACACTTACATTTGCCCTATAGTTTTTTAGAAATGATCTGAGTTATAAAATTTACTGGTAACTTTTTAATGGAAAATATCAGAAATAAATTTTAATGCTAACTTTATAATTAGCAAAATAAAATTTCATATAATATCAAACACATACTTTTTGGTAATGACTTTGCAAAAAAAAATTCTACTAATATTAGACAAACAAATATGTAATTTTAGCAATTCACTAAAGTATAATTTCAATAATCTATTACCTGACATAAATTCTTATAGTTACCTTTAACAACATAATAATAACAAACTGAAAAGGATTTAAATACAGTGGGTGATCGGTTAACGAACATAATCCGTTCCAAGACTTTGTTCGCTATCCGAATTGTTCGTTAACTGATTATCGATTTAACATAGGTTTCTATGGGAATTTGATTAATTCGTTCTAGAGACCCCAAAAATAAAAAAGTATATACTTTTTTACTTCGTTTATTCATATGTAATAATAAAAATACATATATACACGGTCTTGCATTTTTATTAGTCATGTTTTTTCTGTTTGTGGGGGTTAAAAAATCTATCCAATGTCGATTGCTTTTCTGTCTTATTCATGATTTTTCAGAAGTAATTAATAGCATTGTAATTGTAGAGATCCCTAGGCCTATTAACCTCAACTTAGTTTGGATGCCATTTTAAGACCGTTGTTCTGACATCTTCCTACTTCTTCAAAAGATCTTTAATAGCGGATATCGGCATAAATCCGCATTTTCAGAAGAAAACGTAAAAGAATTGTTTCTGTCAGAAATACAAAAGGCTGGAATTACAAGAGAAGGTTTCAAAGTTCGGGGGAATACTATCCAATCAGTATATACTGGGTAGAACGACGATGTTGACGTCTCCCACGCTCCGAAAAGTTTCGAATTGTTGCCTGAAGACAAAGGAAGACCAATCGGTATTCGGTATTTTACGTCGCTTCTTGTGTTTGTTCAGTGAAGTGTTCGTTATCCGAACATATGTTCGTTGTCCGATCATAAAAATCTTTCGCGAAAGTGTTCGTTATCCGATTTGTTCGTTAACCGATCACCCACTGTATAATAATTTATACACAGCATGTTGCATATTCTAGGATATAATTGCTCTTTTGTCACTCAGACTTACAGATGATTGCTTAAAATGGTCAAAAATGTTTGTTTAATTTGAATTTCTATTTTATATACTGGATACTGAAGACTGACTGTTCCTCTTTGAAATATTTTCATCCAGTTTACTATGCCTGTCTTTAAATTGAAAGGAACTATGTGATTTTCAATACAGAAATATTTTCTTTGTTTAATGAAGATCTGAAGTTACTAAATATAGATGTTATCCAAATTTCTGTACATTAATTTAAAGTTAGAAGATACTTTGAGGTAATTTATATATGAATATACAAGTATAGAATTAAAAACATTTGAATTTATTAACTTACCATTCTCTGATTTATTATTTTTTGGGCAAATTCTACAACCAAGACTGAGACAATTAATATCTTTCCTTAAATAATATTCTCTAACAACTCTCATATTCTTCAAACGATGTTTTACAATCACGACTTTATTGAATTTTTTCATTTTCTTTGAAATTTACAAATACTGTAATTACTGTATTTTGAAAATGCATGAAATGGATCAGTCAGTGCACGTGTGAAATAAACACCATTTTTGTGTATAAACAAAACCAAATCAAAAATAGAATTTTTTAGTAATTCATTTTTAATTTGTAAAATTAATATGTGTTGTAAATTAATTATCTTAATAGAATTAATTATTTGAATGTATATGGTTACGCGATAGTCTAAACGTCACTTCCCTTATTTAATTTCCGGTTGATTTCAAAAATTTCGCGGGAAGTTCGAACATTTTGGAATGGATTGGATGTTTTATACGTTGCTTAGACGTTAAAATCGATTTCCTCCTGTCCTGTTGAATTGATTTTCAGTTTATTTTCTATTATTTAATGAATTTTTATTTTGACAATCGTGAGTTTATTAATTAATTAATATCTTTCGAACTGTACCGTTTTTAATGCGTGTGAATGTATGTGTAATATTTTATCTGTTAATTTTATCAATGAATTTAAAATAATCATTTTTTTAATAAAGCAATTAACTTTGATTGGCTTTAACACTGATCGATTTATTTTCTTCTTGCATTTTATGTAACTTTAAGTAATTGTAAATATAATTCAAAGGCATAAATCTTTTGGTAGAGTTTACTTTTAGATCATTTATTTATATATGTACACAAAGTAATTTCTACTCATATTTTATTTTTCTCGCATTTTTTCAATTTTTAACAGTAATTTCCTGTAATTTCTGACGTTAGGAAATCATAAATTAGAAAAGCATCATTGCCTTAACTCATTGTTGTCTTGATCTTTTTCAAATCTTTTATTTTTTCCTATTGATTACCATTTCTTTAATGCTTGAACAATACAGATGCTTTGTTCTGAAAGCAAAAAAAATTATTATTTTTTTTTCTCATCAATATCAGTCTGCAAAATGGAAATTAACATAACTAATGTTTGACAATGAACCAGATTTTTCAATTTTTATTTTTATGTATTTATTAATTGATGAATTTTTCTATATCTTTCATTCTTTCTGCTAACAAGCTACTGTCATCTACATATTTTACTAGATAACTTTTTAATATTGATATGAATATCCAATTTTTACATCTTGTTATTTGTATGATGATTTGCTACACAAGTTAACTATATCAGATTTGGAAGCAGTACACACCTTTTTCTCATCTTTGTGTCAAAGCCTTTCTCTTTTCAGAACCATTTTCTCTTTATCCAGGTACATTTCAATTAATAATTTCTTATAAGTATAATCAGATATCTTGTTATTCTTATGAAACTTAATTTATTTATTATGCTTTGATAAAGCTATAAAATGGTTATGAAGCTTAAATGATAAGTAAATAACTAATCTCCTACTCTTAACTTTCTGATTGTTGTTGTAATTTATATTTATTTTTATATTATAATTTAAATTGATTTGAAATTAATATAGTTATTGTGTGCACAGATGAACACATACTGTATATGTATATATTACATATATACATATATTATTAAATAAATTTATTTAGTTTTCTTAGTTATATTTCACTATAGTTTTCACACATTTATGAATTGTAAATGTTATTGAAAAATGAAGACCATAACTTATCCAGGATTATTATTCTAGTAACTAATAAGTGACACTCTTTGATAGGAATTTTCATGTTAAAAACATAAAAAAATAAAATTGAAGTACAGAAAAACTCTGATTATCCAAAGTAATGTGTATTAACAATATGTCAGATAACTGAAAACATGGATAAAACAGATGATCTTAACTATGTCAGATTAAAAATTATGAATATAACAGATTTGTATGGCTTTTAAGCCTTTTTTTATACCTTAATGAATATAACCATATATAAGAACCAGGGATGACTGTAAATTGGGTCACTAAGGGCACATATCTCCTTTTCTCTTTTGTTTGGCCTTTTCCTAATCACTAAAGGAACCCAAACTCCATTATTAACAGACAAAAGAAAATTTATGATTTATAGACTATTCTCCAAATATAAAAGAAACTAATGAAAGATATTTGTCCATTGTCCCTTGCAACTTCATTGTATGTTGACCAAAAATTGACCTAGAAATTGAAAACAAGGAATGTTCCTTGTTTTAAAGGCCAAGTTAGTCCCAATTGCAACCAGTGCTTCCTTTTGGAGTTGTGATTCAATGTTAAATCATAGTTTGAAACTTTTTGCATAATGTATGATGCCAATTTTTATAGCTTGTGCTCTCCTTTCCTATAGTCTGCAAGCACTGTTCATAAAAACAAAACTGTTCACATCATCGAACATATTTTATCAATGTCCTCCTCTAAGCGATGATTTTGGCTCTTTTTAAATTTGTCCTACTTATTCTAATTTCTCTTCAGAAGTGAAATTAAAATAAGTAGTTTTTTTCCTACATTTTAAGTTTGAAATACAGTTGAAACACTGTTAAAGATATATTCTATTTTAAATATTTATAATTTTGTAAAGATTTTGAATGATTAACTACTATGTAATAAGATTTGTTTTCTTATCAAATATATTTTTAAAACAATTTAATTCAGAAACAAATTGAGTATAATATATTTCAGAATGTACATATCTTATCTAAATGATTTTTATAAAATACTTCAAAGAAGAGAGAAATTTTATATATGAATTTTATAGCTGATAAACACATCTCAGGTTTATGATAATGATATTACCTTTATTCTTTATGCATTATTTTCTTTATTTAGAGGTTCTTGACAGTTTTTTCTTCTTAATTATACATATTTAAACAGTTATAATGTAATTATTAGTCATCATTTTGTGGCTTTTTTAAACTTGTGGTGCCCAAACTATGACCTTGGGCCAAATCCAACCCACAAACATATTTGACATGTTAATTATAAACAGTGGTGATATTCGAAATATTTAATAAAGGGTTCGCTAACAGAAAATTTTTCCTTAACAATTTTTTTCGCTTAAATGGTGCATCGGAAGGCTCTAGTTTAGTAGTGTTACAGAGTATAATACATATATTTTAATATATTTTTTAAAAGAAACAAAACCACTGAGAAATGTTACATGTGTTTAACAAGGTTTGGAAAACTTTGAAAATGTTAACAATGGGTTCGGCCGAACCTGTGCGAACCCGCTGAATATCACCACTGATTATAAATGATGAAATAAGCATACTTTTGGTATATAAGGAACAAACAAAATATAATTTTCCTGCCCACAATGACTTATGCATAATTTGGTTCATCAATTGAAAAGTTTGGACATCACTGCTTTAAACTATAGATCTGTATATACTTTTAGATGAAATAAGATTCCATTATGATATACTGTATTTAATTGTTTATGCAAACACTAGATTTTTTTAGTACATTTCAATTAAGTCTTAATTTTTGTCTAAATATAGATAATGGATTCTACAACTTTGGAAGAATTAGCTCAAAGTTTTGCTGATAAGATATCTATTTTGAAAGCAAGTGTTTCTATACGTAATTTAGAAACGTCTCTAAGCAATGCTATCTTTGAAGCAAGTTACATTGTAGAATTATTAAAAGAAACTTTACATGCATTGAGAGAAAAAGTAAAAGAACAAAATGAAGATCTGGAATGTTTACAAGTAAATTCAATTAATTATTGTTAATACCAGATGATTACAATTAAAGTACCTCTATTCAACACTGTCTAGAGATGTTTAGTAATTCAAATACAACCAAATCTAGTAAGGTGACATTTCCAAAAAAAATTAGTACCAAACTCATGGCACTTTTGATGCTTTGTATCTTAATTGTGATTTTTACTTGTTGGGATACTTAGAAAGTGTGATTTATTAGACTGTTGTAAATTTGGTAGCCTTGAAAGGCAATATCTCATTGCATGTAAGAAGCATTGCAGAGGATCAATTATAATTGGCCATTGAACATGCTGTTCATCACTTTCAAGTTTTATATTTCAGAATGCGGACCACATTGAGAAGTATCCCTTGTATCACTAAGGTCTCTGAATAGCATGAATATCTTGTGTGAATAAAATGTTTTTTGCTTGCAATACCAAAGTGCCATAGTGATGAGTTTTTATGCTAATTTTTTTTTGTTTACAGAAATGTTTTCTGTATGTCCTGAAATGTCGATTTATGAGATTTGATCGCATTTAGACTGCTAAAAATCTCTCCAGACCTCATTGAATAGAGGTATTTTAATTATGACCACCTAGTGTAATTTTATTCCTTTAAGAAAATTTTGAGATTATTTTTTGCAGGAAGAATTTAGAAATAAATTACAAGAATTTAATGACAGATTGATTTACATAAAAGAAAATATTCCATCTAACTTACCAGCACAAAAAAAAAAGTAAGTTAAAAAAATTTTTTTGATTGAATTTTTCTACATAAATTAAGCAGAATGCAAAAGTGAAGATAATTGGAGTGATAGTTATAGTTGTCAAAAAATTAGTAGTTACTCTCAGTATTGCAAACTAATAGGGGAAATAATGGCTTGACAATGCCAATTGTGTGTCATATCTGAAGATATCATGATCAGCTATAAAAGAAAATTTTACATGTTAAGAGACACATTGCGATTACAATATAGATTGTCTCTTATATAATAAGAGACATGGTCTGTATTGTGGTAAATAGCAGAAAACAAAAACTACCCTTTCAAGTAGGAATGTAAATAATAAGGTTGCTCATACCTGGCACTAGACAGCACATTATTAATAATGTGCTGTCTAGTGGCAGGTATGAGCAACCTTTTTAAGTAGCCTTTTTCCTTTAGCCTTTTTTTAAGTAACCTTTTTAAAATGCCTGTAAAGTACTGTACATGTGACCTTTTTTATTTTTATTTTTTAAGCTTTTCACAATTTCTAAATTATGAATATTGAAGTTATCTACAGTGAAAAAGTTATCATGAACGGTTTTATATTATTTATTATAATATTTATACATACTTGTACATATAATTGATTCTATTGTGAGAATTTGAATACCCTCATTATTGTTTGATCAATTTTAAGTGATTTAATACAGTATTATTTAGGATTGAAATTTTGTTGGTGAGAGTATCATGACACTCTTCTAGAGACATTCCAGATGATGTCTAGACTTTTGTTTATATAACTACATTTTTGTAATTCATATCTCATCCCCCTTTGTTTTTTGGTATGTGTAGTATATACAGCTTAAATTAAACTCTGTGTTCAAACCAAGCAGTTGTTTTTTCACTTTACTCCACTGTCACACACTGCATTTATCACAACAGGTTATGGGCCCAGGAGGAACCTTATGAAGAGGAATAAAAGAAAATTTCCATAATTAACAAAACTGCAGCATGTAGTGATTTTTTTTTTTTTTGGACTATTTCTCACGCTCCACAAATCCGATCGCTACGAAACTCAAAGAACCAACAGAGAGCAAAGGTATGAATCCTTTCTTATAAAATTCCACACCGATAGTTACAACCAAGTATTGAGAAGTCAACTTACGGTCAAGCTAGTGAACAAAAACACATCAATGGATTTAAACGGAACTCATTTTGGTGGAAACTTACTGATATGTAGACATTGTAACCCAGACTTTGAAACAATACGACGATTTTTTGATTATAATAGTCGTGGTTCTTATCATTTGATTATTAACAACTATATTTAATAATGGATTAAAATTGAACCTATTTGATAAAGGATCAAAATTGAACCTTTAAAGAAGGATAACTACGATACATGGAAAATCCAAGCAAAAGCTATCTTAGTTAAAAATGGAACGTGGAAATATGTGAATGGGACCTACTTGCGACCCATCGATGATGAGGAAAAAGCAGCCACATGGGACAAAGACAATTCCAAGGCCCAAGCTGATTTAATTCTCACAATCAGTTTCAGCGAACTAAAACAAGTCAAGGGATGTAAGACTGTTTTGGAAATTTGGAACAAATTGGAATCCATTTACCAATCTATAGCTCCCGCGTGCAAGGCCACACTCCTCAAACAGCTCATACTGCATAAGATGGATGAGCCTGATGATGCCAGAGACCACCTAAACAAAGTCTTTGATGCTGTCGATAAGCTTTAAGATTTAAATGTTAACATCAACGACCTTCTCGCTATAATGTTATCATATAGCCTTCCCCCATCCTTAAAACTTTTGTTGTGCAATTGAATCATGCGACAATCTGCCAAAACCAGATGCCCTTAAAGTGAAGATCCTCAAAGAGCACGAATCTTGAAAAGGCAAAAGAACCAATGCAGTACCCAATGCCATGTATGCTGAAAAGAAGAAGAACTTCAAAAACAAAGATGGTCGTAGGAATCCAAAAGGAAAAACTCCATTCAAATTCGAGAAAACAAATCTAAGTGGATCGAAATGTGAATACTGCGGTCGTCGAAATCACAAGTCTTCTGACTGCTGCTACAATCCCAAAAGATGTGAGTGTGCCAGTAAAGCCATTGAAGAATGCTTTCATGGCAAGACAACTGATTCAAGATCAACCAAAAGTAAATGGTGTCTCGATAGTGGCACATCTTTCCACATGTGTGCTAATAGAGATGATTTCAGAGAAATCAAGCCCAACAGACAAACCTTGAACCTAGCCAGCAAAGAAAACACTGCAACGATTGAAGAAATTGGCTCAGTGCAACTAGCACTTGATGATGAATCAGCAGGACGTGTATTTAACTTATTTGACACTCTTCTGGTTCCAGACCTTTGAATAAATCTCATGTCTGTAAGTAAAATTTGTGATAAAGGCTATGAAGTTTTATTCCGCAAACAAATTGCATTTATCATGGACCAAAACGACAATGTTGTTGCCACTGCTGATCGAGTGAACGAACTCTACCATATTCATAAATGGAATCCAGTTGCTGCCATTGCTCAATCTAAGTCCATCCTAATGGATTGGCATGAATGCCTAGGTCATCTTAATCAAAAGAGCCTAAAAATGATATTGTTATGTCTTAGAATTTGAATCCCATCTGGTGATCGCTTATCCCCATGTGAGACATGCCTCAGAGCAAAAATGGTGCAAAATCTATTTCCTTCAGGAGACAACCAACGAACTACCAATATACTTGAAATCATACACACTGATATCTGCGGTCCGACTCTAATTCAATCTATGTCAGGTGCTAGATATTTTGCTGTCTTCATAGATGACCGATCTCGATGGTGTAAAGTATGTTTTCTCCGCAACAAAAGCAATATACTGAACGTCTTTAAACAAGTAAAGAACCTTCTAGAGACACAGTTCAGCACAAAAATCAAATGCCTTCAATCCAACAATGGAACCGAATATTGTAACAAAGAGTTTGACGAATATTTGAAAGAATGTGGGATAAAGCGACACTTGACTGTCCCCCATACTCCACAACAAAACAGAGTGGCTGAAAGAAAGAATCGAACATTAGTCAAGATGGCACGATGCATACTAATTCAGTCAGGACTGAAGGCCTCCTTTTGGGCTGAAGCCGTCCACACAGCAAACTTTATCCTGAACCGCTGTCCTTCAAGAGTGTTAGACAATGATACACCCTACAGAATTGTGAATGGGAGGGATTGCAAAATTTCTCACTTTTGAACCTTTGGTAGTCCCGCTTTTGTACTCAATAAGGACCCAACTATCGGTAAATTTGATCCTTGCGCTGAAGAAGGCATATTCATTGGATATTCTGAACAATCTAAAGCCTATCGAATTTGGATCTTGGAAAAAGGTAGTTGTGACTTGAGATGTTAAGTTCTTTGAACTAAAGACTAGTGATGTGCTGGATATCCGTATCCGTATCCATTACTTTTTAGCGGATCTTTTATCTTAATGAATTTCATTACTTATATGATATTTTAAAGATAGGTAGCAATAAAATACTAATAACTTCAATTCAAATCACTTTATTTCTTAAAATCACATATTTGGCACATTCATATTACAAAAATTTTATCATGCAAAAATCATTTACTATCATAAAATATTTCCATATTACACTACTAAACTTTTTTGTCATCATTGTTTTTATTTTAATTTAACTCAACACTCTCCAAAAACACAAATGTAATCTATGCTATCCTGTGTCACACTAAACTATAAACAAAAACACGCGCAGTGCAAGTCAAAACACGTCGCATTACTAACACAAAGCATCAACTATCGGTCCAAGGTCACACGCACTGGCATGGACTGAGTACGAAAGTTGAGATCCGTATCTGCGAATCTAGACACTAATGATCCGTATCTGTATCCGTACAGTGGATATACATTTTTAACGATCCAGCACATAACTACTAAAGACCTCGAATAATGACTTTGAGGAATTCATCTTAGGAGAATTTTCATCACAAGAAAATGAAACTCATCTCCATGAAGTAATCACTGAGTTAACTAAACCTCCATCACTAACCATTGAACAAGGGGAAGAGAACATCCGTCACACTATCCAACAAGACAATGATGGAAATAAAATCTCCAGGGATAATGAACAAAGGAGGGGTCCAGATCACCCATGCTTAATCAAAACTGGCTTAAAAGGTAGACCTCGCAAATGTTTTAACATGACAGTGACAAATTCAATTTTGCAATGCCAAACCAAAGGACCACATTTACAGAATGAGGAACTGAACCGAGAAAACATCCAAAAAGCGATACAAGTGAATTTGCTTCTGTCATCCAGGAAACAGCATTCAACACCGAAATGTCCGTCAAGGATGCCCACTGAAGCTTGTTTACTCAAGAATGGAGAGATGCAATCAGAAGTAAGTTTATCTCCATCATCGAAAACAACACATGGCACATTGCCAACCGTCCTCCTGACAGAGACATTGTAGGTTGCTGTATCATCCTTTGCAACAAATACAATGCAGATGGCACTCTTGAAAGACGAAAGGTGAGATTAGTAGCAAAAAGTTACACTCAATGCCCTGGAATTGACTTCCAAGAAACTTTTGCACCAGTTGCAAGGATTAACTCCATTCGAACTGTATTGGCCATTGCTGCCGAACAACATTGATTCATCAACCAATTGGACGTGAAAACAGCCTTAATGGAAACATAGATCAGGAGGTTTTCGTGCAGCTTCCAGACCAAATCGAAATAATCCTAGAAGATATAATTAAAAACTCAATGGGACAGATTTGAATCAAAGCAGATCAAATGCTGTAATCTATCCAAGAAGGCAACAAAGTCTGTTAACTTAAAAAGGCCCTCTATGGTCTACAACAAGCAAGTCGCCTATGGTATAAATGACTGGATGATGAATTCAAACAAGTGGGTTTAAGACTGTTGAACTTTGACCCCTGCATTTATGTTTGAAATGAACAGAACAACTAGATCTTTGTCATCATCTATGTTGATGACCTCATAATTGT